AAGCTAAGAACCAATAAAGATACAACGGCAATCAACCCCATCTGTGAACTTTGTAATTATAACCTTAATGAAGACGAGATCCACGTATTTTTTGTCTGTGACAAGTATAATCAAGCCAGAACTCTATATCTACAGAAGCTACAATCAGTCTACAGAGGCCCACTAACCATTCAGGCAATTTTCATGTCACAAAACAGTAATGAACAGAACCTAACAGCGATCTACCCCAATGAAATATTCAAAATAAGATCTATATGAAACTAAAATGTTTATGATCACGTGAAATTTATATTGCATCTGTCAACTGTATTATTGGCCTTAAGGCCCAAATACTACTGAACAAAACTTCTTCTTCTTCTTCGTTTTAAATCTTGATGAATTTCTTCTTAACTTGAAAATACAACTCAACTTGAAAATATTTTAGTTTTGTAATCCCCAAATAACATATTACGAAATGAATAGGTAATCTTTGAACTTCAGGGGATTTATTTCTTCACGTTTTCTCACAGGCAAATGGACCTGCGTGTTGGGTTTCAGTGAACGATGCATACACCGGTATAAGTATCCCTCGTCGCTATTGCACTTCTAATTGTGATAATCTAGTTGTTTTACTGTCCTTCGTCGACAGGTTTTTATAATGTACATGTGTTTCATTTCAATATCAAATGTTCTCGTCACGACATGGTTGAAATATTGCCGATGTGATGTTAAGTATTAACTCACTCACTCACTCGTTATTACACAATAAAGAAGTTGATCATCCATAAAGACTTGTCATTCCTATTGCTCACATCGATCGTTCGACCGCCTCCGTGGTGTAGTGGTTAGAGAGTCCGTCCGGAGAGCGGAAGGTCGCGGGTTCGATACCCGACCTCGTCATACCAAAAGACGTTAAAATATGGTACTTGTTGGTCCCTGCCTGGCGCTCGGCATTAATGGGTACAACAAGGACTTGGAAGACTCATAGTGGCGTTGCTCTAGTTGCCATTCACCAAGCAACACTTTAGGGTACCGCGGAACATGAATCTAGGTACACTGTATAAGCCCCATCTTTGGGTATCCACAAGTGATTAATCATACATATCTGTAGGATACATATCAACAGCCAAGGCAGACAGCAAAACAGCCCTCTCAGAGGGCTATGGAGAATTAATCAACCTATAGACTCACTCAAATCACCCTATTAGCTGGTTGTCACTACATTCCCCTTGTTTCTCTATTCTCGAAACGTTCGTAGCCCTACCAACTTCTTAAGCCCTTCTTAACGCATTGGCTACGATCAAAGTTAAGAATTCTATTTGCTATTCTTAGTCCCCAAATGGCCAATTATGTACCAATTGTTATTCAATTACGTGCTGTTGTGAAGATCCGGGCTAGAATTGATCTTCAGCAACCCATGCTTGTCGTAAGAGGCGACTAACGGGACCGGGTGGTCAGACTCGCTGACTTGGTTGACACATGTCATCGGTTCCCAATCGCGCAGTACGATGCTCATGCTGTTGATGACTGGATTGTCTGGTCCAGACTCGATTATTTACAGACCGCCGCCATATAGCTGGAATATTGTTGAGTGCATCGTAAAACTAAACTCACTCACATGCTGTTGTTAATGTTATCTGCTGTTTGTCACCGCATAACATGTTATCTGCTGTTTCATATCTGAAGGAACCAATGAATACTGATCATGCAGCCATTGCTGTATTTTACTGGCGCTTCAAACACTGGTGATCGGTAACTCGACTGAGAAATATGTCCTCAAATGATTAATCACACATGTGTGAAGGGACTACCTCATTACAGTTTGATGTAGCAATTCAAAGTGACAAACTAAAAAAAAGTACTTTTTTTTAACAGTCTCATGTCTAAGAAGACAACACTGATTTGGAACTCCACCAGAGGTAGCCACTGCAGTATTTTAATGGCGCTTCAAACACTAGTGTCTGGGTAACAGGGCTGAGAAATACGTCCTTTCGTCATTGATCAAATGTCTGAAAATGCACCTGATCACCATTTAAAATATAAAATTGACGAAGTATTCTGGTTCTCCTTTGATGCCCCCAGTTCAGTATTCACCAAAGACCTGAGCTACCGCAGAGTGAATATTGAAGTCAATGAAAGAAGAAAGGGAGGTAATTCGTCCTGACCACGATGTACATGACGACTTTTCAGCGGACGAAGTAATGGGAGTAAGCGATCTAATTTTATTGAGATTCTGTAAATAACGTCGTTGTTCACTTGGGAGCTGGAGCACCAGGGATGTTTTTGTTTCTTTTTATGAGTATGGGTTTGTTTTGGTTTTTTTTGTTGTTGTTTGTTTTTGTTCTATTTTTCTTAAATGACGAGACGAGCCTCTCAGAAGCTCAATGTCCTCCGATGCTGCTAATGATGCTATGATGACACTCACCCTCCATATTTTCTAAACTCGGTCAGTTGTTTACAACAGAAATATTTAATAAAGAGTCTGTGTGGTTTAAGTGTGGTGGGTGAGGTGAAGTCGGGTTCAATTTCATGTTCGAGATTCATGTATTGTCGTGTAAGTTTTTCTTAAAAAAACAGTGATTTTAACGTTGTGGAGTATTGTGTTCCCAGCTAACACGTTTTCGCAACGTTATGGGAAGGTTGTAGATTGGTAACGTCATGACACAACGTTGTCACAACTTTAGTATTACGTCATTTTATAAAATTATGGCACAACGTAATAACAACGTTACATATTTACGTTGAGGAAACGTTATGCCTTGGGCTCCTCACAACGTTATAACAACGTTTCTTACAACTTGTATCACGATGTTTTTTTTAAAACCTTTCTCTTTGACATTCTTTCTTCACTATTCAGCTACAGCTTCTGAAAACACACGACCAAAACGGTGTCCTCCCACTTTGCCAGTTTCATTGTCAAGCAATTAATTAAACAACAATTAATGATCCAACAAAGGGGATTAGTAAGGGATTAGTATGAGATCAGGAGGGAATAAATACTCTAGTCGCTTCAACACTTTACCAATTTATTTCATTTTACAAAATTTACAAAAAATATATATGATTCATGTCATACATAATATTACTTTTTATCATTTTAAGTAGATCATTAGTGTTATAAGTTACAGGTAAATAAATGATACATATATAACTTATAACCATGCAATGTCATTTTAATCAAACACAAACACAATACAAATATTTACCATACTGGATGACGGTAGAAAGTCCATTTTGAAGCCGCCGCTTTACAGCCTCAAGCCTCTCTTCCAAGCTGTAGGTACTAGTATTTCTTCTTTCTGAGACAGGCACCAGCTCACCACGCTCAGAAATTGGCAATAACCAGCCAGGCATAACCTTGCTAATTAGGGCGTTAATTATAATCAGATATTCGTTAACTGTGGTCGGATTAACTACTGGCAAAGTGAGAGTAGATCACCAAAACAAGATACAAATTTACGAATAAACATTGAAATTAATTTCTGCTTTGTTTATTATATACTGTTCACTACTGGGAAAACTATTCAACCATTAACGTTAAATAGAACGTTAAGACAACGTAAAGTACGTTAGCATCAAATAACTTAACCTTGTGGCGACGTACAATTGACGTATCACAACGTTATGACAACATAAATGGGACTCCGCAGAATAACGTTATAAAAACTAAAGCATAACGTTGTGACTACGTTGCGATTAGGTAGAGGTGGGTTGTGTGCCAGTTGCTATATTTAGATTGGGAGTCAACACTAGTCTGTGTAGAAAGCTTAGATTAACCTGGTTTATTACCTACGACGGTGAAAATATCGGGGTTTATATTTTTCATATAATGCCCAAGGTGAAAATATCACTTTGTCATGCTGACGTGACGTCATGAACAAAACTATGACGCCAGGTTTCTTCTGTGACGTTGCGCACACCTGTATTATCTTACATCACCTGTGTGAAGATCTTTTCACCCATTCCTGTATTGGAAGTTTGACATCTGTTGCTGGTTGCCGAGTATCAGTTTTACGTTTCATTTCATACTGCCCTTGGACTTACAGTGATTATGAATTGTGTACTGCCACTCTGCTGAGAACTGCCGTTGTAATTAATTGCAGTCATATTAATTCATTTACAAGTGTTCTTTGCATAACATTTCCTTTATTGTTTGTCGGTCTTGGGCTGTATTCTGTCTCACGACCATTGCAACAGGCAAAACAAGGATCCACATCACGAGGGTTGCAACAGGCAAAACAAGGATCCACATCACGAGAGTTGCAACAGGCAAAACAAGGATCCACCCCACGAAAGTTGCAAAAAAAACCACCACTATTCTTCATCAACACAACTTCTAAAATGCCTATCAAAGAAGAGTTGCAACAGGCAAAACAAGAGCATGTAGAGCAAAGTAAAAAGTTTGTCAATTTTACAACAGAGATTTTTTTATCAAGTTTTCGCATCAAAGCCTGGTTAAATAAATCCAGTGGTTTCCTGGAAGGTACTTCTAGGATTTCCCTAAATGAAACACATCCGCATTTCACGTCCCTATTCACCCACATACTTTGTTAATGAAGTGTCCAAATGGTGCAAGCTGCAGTCGGTGCAGACCATGCATACCCTTTCCCAAAATTCATCTGGTGTCGCTACTCATTCTAAACCACCCATTCACATGAGTTTCAATATCAATGGAATCTGTCAAAATATAATCTGTCAACAGCAATTTTAACTTACACACTTGGAAGTCTGTTAGCCTCTAAGGTCCATACACTGACTGACTGACTGAGTTTGGTTTTACGCCGCTTTTAGCAATATTCCAGCAACATCACGGCGGGGGACACCAGAAATGGGCTTCACACATTGTGCCCATATGGGGATTCGAACCCAGGTCTTTGGCGTAACGAGCCAGTGTTTTAACCATTAGGCTACCCCACGGCCCCTCTAAGGTCCATACAAGTGCCACAGGTACAATCATCCAATCCTGACTACACCTTTAAGAGCTTATGGTTGTGTCTTACCAACAAAACAACATAAATACATTTACAGTGTCAAGTTTTATTTCAAATATTCAGGAACTCGCTCAACACATTCAGTCACAATAACCTTTTCGAAAAGAAAATTAAATAAACTTCAACAAGAACACAAATGATTTCCAAACAAATCTTGTGAATCACAAAGCTTGCACCAGCTGAGGGAAATGAACCAGGGTCCTGATTCACAAAGTGTTCGTAACGTTATGTTACGACCTGTCACAACTCTAAGAGCTTACCATAGGCTTACAAGTGCCAATGTCCTAGCGCTATGAAAGCTTTGTGGATCAGGACCCAGGGCCTGGATTTTCGAAGCTCTCTTAGCTAAGATAGTCGTAAGTGCCATACATTAACATTAACTTACGACTATCTTAGCGCTAAGAGAGCTTCGAAAATCTAGGCCCTGGTCTTCTATTTTAGACTCTCACCACCCAGCTCACCACCCAGCTCACCTTCTCAGCTATTGGCAGGAGGCTGGGCCAAGATGAAGCATTGAAGGTCCGTTCCACAAACTGATCCTAGCGCTACGACCATCATAAGTCTATGTTAAAGTAAGGGAGTTACGATCACCTTAGCTCTAGGATTGCTTTGTGGAATGGGGCCTTGCACTGTACTTAAGATTCATGTACACTTGCTCCCTGATATCTCCAACTTCACATCTTGAAGACAGTGTAATAGCACAGACCGGAACAGTTCAAAACCAGAGATGCCAACCCCAAAGTGTTGCAAATAGTAGTGTCAAGGATCAAAATTAGTAGTTTGACCATAAAATTAGTAGTCCACTAAATACTGATAGATTCTGAGAAAGATAATATGACACTAATCAAGCTTTAATTTCACATGCCTCCAACACCAGATTTCCAAATTACACGTATCAGCATTACATTTCTTTTTGTCGAAAATGTATTTAATCAACGAAAATGCTTTTGTCTATATATCGGAATTTTAATGAATTTTCTTCAAATTTCGTAGAATTTCTAGCGCAATCTTATTGGCGTAGTTTGAGGCTAAAATTTGTAGCAACTACGATAAAAACGTAGAGGTTGGCATCTCTGCAAAACCCATTCAAACTGATGCTTGATAAAACTATGAAAATTTTTGGATGTCAACTTCACTATAAGCAATACAACATTGCAGAGTCTTCTTACACCATCAGGTTCTGTACCTCCAAATACCTTAAAGTCATCTATACACTGTCCCTGTTACATGGATCCCTTCTAAGTTTGATTCAAAGACATGATACTTCATCTCACTGTAATCCTTCAGACTCATCCATTCATGATCTCAAACCAGCTTCTTTAAGCATGTTAACCCTGAAACCTCTATTCCTCAAAATAGCCCTTTTCAGCATGTTAACCCTGAAACGTCCATTCCTCAAAACAGCCCTTTATAAGCATGTTAACCCTTAAAACTTCTATTCCTCAAAATAGCCCTATTAAGCAAGTGAAGAACTTCAATAGCCTTTAGTTCTGTTCTGAAACATATCTCTTAAACATATAATGTCAAATGGGTCAAAAAGTAACCAGTGATATTTTACACTGCTATTTGCAATATTTCCAAGAATATCACAGCATTAGTCGCACGATGGTAACCAGACCTGTCACCAGCATTAAGTGCACTTCCTGTTAGGGACTGCTCATAATTTATGGCTAAGGGGTGATGATGATTTTTATGGAGTAGCATGTACAATGTGAATGAATCCCTCGAGATTTACATACAAAGTAAGTGACACTCTTCCCCAACACATCATGTACAAAATCAATGACACCCCACCCCATCCCCAATAATGTTTAAGTATAATATTTTACGATTTTTATGCATAAAATTGCTCACCCCACCCCCACTAGAACATGTGTACAAAATTGATGACCCGCTCCCACACCACCCCAGAACAAAATGGATGACTCCCCTTTAAAATCATCATCATCACGCACACACACACGCACAATGAACGGTCCCTTACTCATTGAAGCATTACCTCAATAAGATGACGTATTATACTTTGAGTGTATGTACGTATCACCCAGCCCCAATTATTATTTGTTTTCTCCCCTTTGTTTGTGGATCCTACAGTCGTCAGGAGTGAGTGAGTTAGATATACAACCAGGTGTAACCAAACCTAACGTGAAACAAGCATGACCTCATATCCCTATACCAACAGGAGTGCAAGTGAGTTAAGTTTTGCGACGCTTTTAGCAATATGACGACAAGGGACACCAGAAATGGGCTTCACACATTGTACCCATGTGGGAATCGAACCAGGTCTTCGGCGTGACGAGCGAACGCTTTAACCACTACGCTACCCCACCGCCCATCTGTCAACAGGAAATACATACAGACGATTTGTCACATAGCAGGGCCTTCAACTAACGGAGGCAGTCTATTTTCTTACATCTTGGCATGAACTTTGTGTGACTATATGACTGGCCGATATTGATGTTCTCAGTCTTTACCAATGAAATGAGAGTAAAGGAAATCAGGCTGGTCCATTTGCAAACTTTGAGTGAGTGAGTTTTGTTTTATGCCACTTTTAGCAATATTCCAGCAATATGGAATCTGGGACACCAGAAATGGGCTTTACACATTGTACCCATGTGGGGGAGAATCGAACCGGGTCTTCCATGTGACGAGCGAACGCTTTAACCACTAGGCTACCCCAGGAAACTTTGAAGTGATGAGTGGAGCAAAAAGGCTGTTAAAAACAAAATTTGAGTGTTCAATGGTCCGAGCAGCCCTTGGTTACCCGTGTACCAACCAGTGTCATAATTCACTAGTTACAAATAACACCTACACCACAATACAGTTGCTGTATTCACAGGTGAATATGAAACATTGTGCATACAAAACCATGAACTTATGACAAACTATTGTTGCCTGAATATCCAGTACTAATATACTAGTACTCAATCTTAACAACTACAGTCTCCCCATTAATATCGCTTTCTGTTGTTATGATCTGCACATTATCTAGAGAGACACCATCGAGGAAAGACGCTGAGATACTTTCATTCCACTAATAGAAGACACTTGTATAGGTTGGGCATCTACTACTTGACCTTGTTGCCCAGCAACTGCAGCCTGGTTCCATGCCTCATGCTCCTGTATCACAGCAACCACCTGTGAGGCTTCCTCTGTTGTCATGACAGTCACATTTTCTGCAGTAGCTGTACCTGAAACTGCGGATTGTGTTCCTTCAGATGTTGTCTCCATGACAACACCATCAGCAGTTTCTTCCAAGAATTTAAGATTAGAATCACATCTGATATTTCTAGTCCCTGCGGGTCCTATATCACATGGTATTTGGATGACTTGCCCTTCAGCGCCTAGTGCTGCAGATTTGCCCAATCTGTAGTGATCATCTTCAGATCCCAAATATACAATACTGTATTCAGCAGAATCAGAAACAGCATCTTGTCCAGGCTTGTCTTGAGCAGACAGCTTAAGGAGAACACTTTCACCCAGTAAACTATGTGACTGATGCACATCCTGGCTTAAAGATTCCTCTCCAGTCTCTTCAACTGGCTCATTTTTAATCTCGGTAATTTCAGGTGCATCAGCATCCTTTGAAGTCTTTGAATAACCCTCAAAATAATGCTGCGGATGAAATACCCGTATGTGACTCGACAGCTTAGGTTTGCTCACAAACGCTTTGCTACAGTGAGGACACTTTGCATGAGCAACCTTGTGTGTCTGTAAGTGAATCCTATATGCTTTGGGATGGGGAAAGGATGCGGAACATATTGCACATTGGTATGGCTTATCTTTGGAATGCGTCTTCATGTGAACCGACAAATGTTGTGACTGGGGAAAGGTTTTGAGACAGATTCCGCACTTAAATGGTCTCTCCCCTGTGTGGAGTATCATGTGTCTTTTTAACAATTGTGATGACGGGAAAGTCTTTTGGCAAGTTTCACATGCATGTTTCTTTGGTCTCCTTTCATTCCGAGAGGTTCTGGTTTCACCTACAACCTCTTTCTGCAGATTTTTCTCATCAACCACCTTCCTTGAGATTTCACACTCTTTTTCTGTTGATGCTTCTGCAGCCTCAAGAATTATGTCAACAAGCTCCAATGAGCTTTTTACCTTGTTACACTCTCCTGATATTTTTTCATCATTTGATGATTCAATGTTCTTTAATGATTCTTTTTGTTCTGAATATTCTGGCTCAGTATCAGTAGCAATGATCCTTTCTATGTTGTTTTCCATGCCTTGACTTCCTTGCAAAACCTCACAACCTGGTTCCTTTTTCACTGTAATTTCCATACTCTTTCCACCACCAGCAGTTCCTTGAAGGCTTACCTTGCTATAACTGTGTGTTAGAAAGACCTCAGAATCACCTGTCATATCTTCCACTCCAGTAACAGCCTCAGTTTCAGAATGATTAGCCTCACTATCAGAATGACCAGCCTCATTATCAGAATGACCGGCCTCACTATCAGAATAATCAGTCTCACTTTCAGACTGACCTTTGACATGGTCCTTCTCATTCCCATTACATCCACAAGGGCATTTCACTCTCTTTGTGCAGGTCTTTCTTTCAATGTGCAGCTTGAAGTTCCTCTCTCTTCTGAATCTCTTACTACAAACATCACACCTGTAGGATTTGGGCAGAGAATGTGGCTTGCTACCATCACCACAGCCACAAGGACAATCAGTTCTGAATTGGCCTTTCTTGCACATCTCCACATGGATTCGCAGAGATCGAGGGTGAGCAAAGTTTTTGTCACAGATGTTACACATGTAGGGCTTTTCCCCAGTATGTGTCCGTAAATGATCCTTCAGATGTGCACACTGAGAGAACCCTTTTTCACACACTGTACACTTGTACGGTTTCTCTCCTGTGTGCATGAAGTTGTGTCTCTCAAGACGCTGGCTGTTAAGAAATCTCTTCCCACACAAATTGCAAACATGGGGTTTATGCAGAAGATCCTCCATGTTGTTCCTGTGGTCCAGCTTTTCCCTCCTTGTAGAAAATCCCTGCTTACATGCCCTACACGTGTGTGCATCAGACTTTGTGTGGGTCCGTTTATGTAACTGCAGTTTCACTCTCTTGGGGTATGCCTTCTCACAGAAGTCGCACTGGAAAGGGTTCTCAATGCCATGTTGGATCTGATGTTCCAGAAGAGCATCCTGCTTGCAGAAGCTACTGTCACATTTGTCACACTTAAAGATGTCTGGGTGACGTGATGCGATGTGTTTCTCCAAATGACTCAGTCGCACGAATACCTCGGGACAAAAACCACACTGAAACATGGCAATGTCGGGATGGTTGTGCTTCACGTGATTGTCCAACAAACGCAGGCCAGTGAAGCCAGTATCACAGAGCTGACACCTCACATCTTTAGACTTGGAATGGAGTTTAACATGAGATCTGTAATTGCCGAGTTTCAAAAAGCGTTTCTTGCAAATCTGGCACTGGTACGTTTCCTTCTGTTCCTGAGCATGCACGGTCATGTGACGCCCTAAAAAGACAGATGATGCAAATCTTTTGTTGCATAACTTACAAAAGAAACGTTTCTCTGCATGGGCCCACATGTGGCCTTTGAGAATGGAAGCAGTGGCATACTTCCTGTGACAGAAGCGACATTGGAAATTCTTTGTGTTGTTATGATCCTCAAGGTGCAACTTCATCTCGGAAATTGTCCTAAACATTCTCCCACATACAGTACATGGAAACTTCAAGGTCACAAAATGAGTAGCTTTGTGACGCTTCAAGTTTCCTGATTGGTTGAAAGTCATGGGGCACATATCACACTTAAATTTCTTCTCCCCTGAGTGGACGATCATGTGTCGTTTGACATGCAACTCCTGTGAGAACTTCTTGTGACAGATCTCACACTGGAACGGTTTAATGTTATTGTGCTCCCACATATGAGTCTTTAAGGCACCAATGGTTTTGTACGACTTGTCACACATGGAACACTGATATGGATTTGCTCGACTGTGGAGCTTCATGTGCCTGCGTAGGTTAGTCTGTGTTTGGAAGGTGCTACCACAAGTATCGCACTGATATGGTCGGGCACCATTGTGTAGCCGCAAGTGCTGGTTACGGATACGCACAGTCTTGAACGTCTTACCACATTCATCACAAGGGTACCTCTTATTTGGCTCGTACACATAGTGAATTTCTTGGTCATCTTCATCTTCAGGGAAGTTTTCCTCTTCACAACCATCAAATGATTTCTCATCAATTTCCGTCTCTGCACTTGGTTCAGTAATGTGCAAATAGGGATTCTTTTTACTCCTTGGGGGTACAGGTATTTCTCCATGCACACTAATCTTGTGTTCTCTAAGCTGCTTCGACAAAGAAAATCTCATTTTGCAGGTTTTACAGAAGTACGGCTCCTTGTCGCGGCGGTGGATCCACACATGAGCCTTAAGAAGCACCTCAGTGGTAAACTTCCGTTCACACATGTCACACTGGAACGGCTTGTGCTCCATGTGGTCCGTGACGTGTTCCTTTAGCTGATTCAGCTTTGCAAACTGCTTGCCACACACATGGCATTCGTACACGATATGGGTCAGTTTGTGGCGCTTCAGATTTCCAAGTGAGGTAAACTGTTTGCCACATACATCACACTGGTGTGACTTTACATCCGCATGCACAGCTTTATGTCGCTTAAGATGAACAAGTAGGGGGAACTTTTTCTGACAGATTTCACATTCAAATGGCTTCTCAGGAACATGCTCCCACATGTGAGCCTTCAGATAAGCCTCTGTACCGTACGACTTCTGGCAAATATCACATGGGTAGGGCTTGGATGTGTCATGGAGCTTCTTGTGTCGGTAGAGATTGGCCATGGAAAAGAACTGCTTGTGGCAAACATCACACTTGAAGCGGTTCTCCTCAGTGCAGGTGTCCTTGTTCTCCATGTGGGTTTCCATGTGAAGGCGAAGAGCTGCTGGAGATTCAAACTTTGTGTTACACCGGTTGCACTGGTATGGCTTCTCAGTGGTGTGGACAACAATATGTCCTGTGAGATTAGGTGCACAGGTGAACTGCTTATTGCACATGTCACACTTGACGACCTTGGCACCTGTGTCGACGATGACCTGGACCTTCATCCCTGTATCTGGTGTTGTGATGCGGTGGTCGCACTGCTCACACAGGAATGGCTTGTCGCCTGTGTGAACCTCCAAATGCTCCATGTTCCAGTCTTAGTCCTAGAACACTGAATAATATGGTGGTCAGTTCATTTTACCAGCACACCACATTCAGCGCTAACTTGAAGTAGGTCACAATTCTTTTCCACCACAGAAATATCCCAATTATCAACCTGGGTTATCTCCTTCTCATTTTTGATGGACTTTCCACCACAGAAATATCCCATCTTCTTCTCAACGTTATCAACCTGGGTTATCTCCCTGCTCATTTTTGGTGGACTTGGTTCCTTTATGTGTGCAGGCATGAATCTGAAAATAACAAAACAAACACATTAAAATGAAAGAGTTGGGCTATGATACAGTAACTCATATTATTATTAAAAACAGAAATTTCTCTCAACTTCACATAGGTTCAGTTTTCAGAGGGAGTTAAAATTAGGTGTAGGAATCACATTCAAGATCAAAATTCACTGAAATGGTGATGTGTGTTGGACGGGGATGGGGGTGTATGTGCGTGCATGCACACGTGTTCATGTACATGCTGGGAAATGACAAGTAAAATCTTAAAAGCCTTTGTTATGTCTCACTAAGGGATCGCACCAGCATTATCTGGCAGGCACTCAATCTAATATACCATGGTTTTGGTAATCAATTAAAGGAAATAGATATAATACTAAGAGCCATCATATGTACAACTGACTACTGTAGACAATCCAACATATTTACTGAACAGTCAACAACAATCAATAAAGGTCCAACGCTACTGCAATGCATAAACAAGGTTGACACCATGGGAGATAACTCTTACAGACTTACTGAGCACAATATCTCCCCAACTCCTAACAAATGATCAATGAAAGATTTTCGCAATATTCTAGCAATACCACAGCGGGGTATACCAGAAATGGGCTTCACACAAAGTACCCATGTGGGGACCAATGAAAGAAAATAACTTTTAGCCCAAGTTCGGTAAAAGAAACCAGTGCCTTTGGAAACTGTCAGAGAAACTCAACCATGACCCTCCAATTTTATACGCCACAGGATGAAAAACACATAAATGATGGTGTACCCAGCTGAACTGAGTTGATGAGGAAAGAAATCATGATCACTGATGTGCATGTGTGCATTCATGCACATGTGCATGCATGCCTGCGAGTCAGCGCATGTTCATGGATACACCACTCAGACTGATCCAAAGTGAAGCTGTCCATTTGTTTTGTCCAATGAATGTGAAGCATCAAGTACGATAACAACAAGAATGCCAGGGACCAATTTAATATCCCTTAAAAAGTAATTTCTTTCTCTCTTTTTGTTAGGTAAAGAAATCACAACAACTTTACAGTCGGCTCCCTTTATCACTGCCAGTAGGAAACATGATGTCTTCTTGTGATCCACACTACTGTATTTTTCACTACATTCAACATGTCAAGTGTAAGATGGATCTCTCTGATAATTCTTCTCACATTTCCAGAATTTTGTGTCCATGGACAGTTATGCTACTGCAAAGGAAATAAGGTTAGGCCCCTAATACTACCAAGGACAGTTCTAAAGCGACTGTGCCATCATATTCAGAAATACTTGAATTTATGTTGTGATCTGCCACCTTTTGTTCTGAATAAGTTTGGTTGGAAAAATGTGAGACCAACAGTTGACATGATTCAGAAGTTAACATGACAAACATCACTTAATTTGATCACTAATTATTCTTACTGCTCGTCTGGCTTCATTTCCAGTGTGCTATATGGTATTTTAACTCTCTAACTGGCATCATCCAATCATCTGTCGCTATGTAGTATCCATTACCTGCTGTTATTAATGCTAACTTGGCTCTTATGTAGTATGACCAGAAATTATTGAGAATTTTAGGAATATGTTTAATTGGATTTCTAGTATAAACAACCATGACCAGCTATCAAGTGCTTGGTGTCATTCAAGAGAGACAACTCCGTTAATCAATTTTCATTAGTTTGTGAAGAGTTACCCCTTTGTTTACTTGCTAGCAGACGACATTTTCAGTGATCCTCAGTATGGATGATTTAGAGAAGAGGAAGTTGATTTTAGAGTATTTTAACAAGGACATCAGATCAGCTAAAGTGATTTCAAGTAGAACAGGCATCCCTTTGTCCACTGTTTATCGTGTTTTGAAAAATATTGCAAATGGATATGGCATTGAGCACCAGGGAGGCGCAGGTAGGCCCAGAAAATTGACTGCCGGCTTGGTATTCTTGTTTCTAAAAACAAACGAAGGAGTTTAGAAAAAATGTCCTGCTAATATTCACATTTAATATGAATGTTATGAGTGAACATTTTTTTTAAAAATTACAATCTTAAATTCTCAATAATTTCTGGTTGTACTGTAATAACATATCATGGAAACACCTCCCATAACTTGGTTCATGTCACTTGAGGTTGACAACAGTGTAAGGATGGAAACACTGCTATATACCATGACATACAAGTAACCAGAAAGTGTTATCCATAAAGTTGCATTTTTTTTACTCACCAACTTCTAGAATACAAAATCATACATTGTATCCAACTGATGTTTCATGATCAGTGACGATTGATTGGCTACCCTATACCAAGGTCAAAAGGTATTATCAGTGATAATGGAGAAAATTGCTCTAACTTCATTTTTACATTCTAAATGATCTGAACGTGTATCTAAAATATGACATAAGAAACAGTTGACTTAAACTCAAGGTGAATCAAGGGAATACACTTCTGATTTCTATAAAACTGGTAAAAAGATAATTTTTTTAACGTCAGGAGTAGGTACTCCTTATTTTATCAATATAGGAGTACTGGAAAACCATAAGAGTACATTTAGAGTACAGAATTGAATTTAATGGCATATCAGTAATCTTGTGTTTCGTTTCATGTATGCACCACAACATTGCTAGTCTTGTGTAAACAGGTCAAACAAAACTTTTTTCAGATAAATACGTCTGATTCTAGGACCGTACACCACTGCTGTGGTGCGTATCTGCTACGTTTTCTAAATTATTTCCTACCATATCGTGCATATTTTTTAGCCATACACACGCTGATACAGCCCTTATCTGGAGCCCTGATTAGAGAAATATCACATCCATATTCCTGCTGTTTTGAAATTCAGTTTGGAAGGGAAACATCATATGTGAAGGCAAGTATGCGTTGCTCTTAGTTTAAATGACTCAAAAATTAAACCAAACTTGCATTATTTTTTAAAATCAGCATACTGGAATCAAAGGAAAATGATGCAACATCTCTCAAAAAGCACATTTCAGTATGCCAGTGGTTGCAGTTCTAGTTGTTTCAGATCAATTACATATTTATGAAAATTACAAGAAAAATTGGAAACTGATTATTTTCAATGGCTGATTAGTGGGAACAAAACCACAATGACTAACAATCAATGATATAAATTTTGCCACTACTGTTTAACTGGCAGTGAATGTTCAGTCTTACTGATTCCACAAATTATTGATAGAACATTTTTAAGACAATCAATCCTTGTCTATGAAAATAAGCCCATCTGAAATTCTGACATCTGAAGATATCTCTGTCAATAAGATGTGTTGTACAGGTAATAGTGTCTGATTTAGGGCGAGGCTTATTTCTGCATATAACAAGGTTTGCAAAGCAACGCCCTGCTTCTACTTAGGTATCACTTGAATAAGGCCAGTGTCACCAATGTAAGCCTTATAAGCAGACAGAGTATTTTCACATGACAAAGCAGGTTTTGAAGAACACTGTCAAGACTTCCTAAAATGGCAGAGTCTTTTTTCTTTCTTGTGCATGCAATTTTTGCACATCAGGCATGGTAAAACTACATACATGACAACAGTTAAAAAGGATCAAAACAAAGTTCAAAAGATTTAACAATGAGCTTCTCCATAACCTAAGATGCCATTTTACGAAATGTTTGTATTGTACTGTTCAAATGTCATTTCTACAAAATCAGCTTGAGCTAAATACCTGCTTCTCTGCAAATATCAGCCTTTTTGACACACTCAAGCCTTGAATATCGATTTAGCATTGTTTAAAGTCCAAAATAGGCAAGTCTTGAAATAAACTAGTTCTACCTGGACCTGTGATCAGAGTTAGAATTGATGATCAGCAACCCAACCATGCCTGTCGTAAAGAGCTGACTAATGGGATTGGGTGGTCAGACTTGTGGACTTGGCAGATGTGTCACTGCATCCTTAATGTGAAGATCAGCACTCTCGATGCCAATCACTGGATTGTCTGGTCCAAACTCAATTTAATTACAGACCTAGAGACTGCCATCATATATCTTCAAATCACTGAGAGCGCCATTAAACAACAAAAAGGCACCTGAGACAACTAATCACAGGACCAAACATGTAATCAAAAATATAACATATGTTACATTTTCTGTACATCCATGAAGATCTGGGTTAGAATTGATCTTCGGTAACCCATGCTTGTTGCAAGAGGCGACTAACAAGATTGGGTGGTCAGGCTTACCAATTTGGTTGACACGTCATCATATCCCAATTGCGCAGATCGATGCTCATGCTATTTATCACTGGAATGTCTGGTCCAGACTCGATTATTTACAGACAGATGCCATATAGCTGGAATATTGCTGAGTGTGGTATAAAACTAAACTCACTCATTCCATTTTCTATAAGGCATCGACTGTACATTAACCATCTTTGTTGGCACGAACATATCTTTACATATTATACTGATCTCACATTGGGGCTTGTGGATTATGGTGCGCACTTGACTGTTATCATATAATTGGTAGGACTTGTTCATTAATCAGTTGATCAGGTATGGTAATCAAGTTCATTAGTGAGTGAGTGAGTGTTGTTTATTTCCGAATCAACATTCAGCCACCTGTAATTATTCCAAAATTAAATGATCCATTCTGGACCAGTGACAGTAAACACAAGAAATAAGGCCAAATAAAAAAATGTTGTGGTTCTGATTACGCCTCTTTAAAATTTAGGGTAGGTAGTAAGGCTGTTACGATTCACTCGCATATTCGGTGAATCGAACCATAGCCCTTCATGAATTCAATTCGTTATTCGTGGTCACCAGAACCGAATATTAATGAATATTTACGATTTTTTAAGGGAGTGTGTTTTACTTGAACCATTATGTCCTTTTTCAAAGCGAGATATGCAAGAATGGAATATGTACTAGCCTTGTAATAGCGCACATTTTGTTAGTTTGCCTGAAGGTCGCACATGGTACTGTTGACTAACTATTACATACCAAATTTGAATGTCATGAGATAACTGGTTATTGCTATGACAAATTAACACTATCAACATGGGCGTTCCACTTCGTGCATCAATCACTTAACTACAATATTGTATTCATGCATAATTATTCGTATTTGTTACCCAATATTCGTGATACGTATCATATTCACCAAATAGTGTATTCGTTGCAGCCCTAGTAGGTAGGTAGGAATATTTTCTTTTTTTTTTACATTTTACTTTAGAAGTAAATTACGAACTAATAACACATTTATCAATGTGTAATTATTTATTCACCCAAGCTTGCGGCCATCATGTCGACTTTCTCTATCAGAATGACCGATGTCCGACGGTGCTGGGGAAAAAACAATGGCATCTGAAAGCTTATTTTATTCATAACTCTTAAAAAAATAGGGTCGGCACCAGAATTCAAGGGTCGATCATGTAATCGGAACCACAACATTTATTTTTTTAGGCCTAACCCATGCAACTTGGTCCATGACATGCCATCAGACAAATGAGACCCTGCCCCAGATTTGCAAAGCATATGTACTGTCAACTGGGCGTCAACATGTATTTTCCAAACCTTTTCATGTTCTTAGTCAACAAGGCAACTCAAGTCTTCTACTTCATTTAGCACTGTGTCTGAGACAGGGAATGTGAAAATGTTCTCATGTTAACTGGATCAGATCATCTCGTCTGGGCAGTGCCATTTTGTTTGAAGCAATTGCAAGTGATAGGGTCCGTATTTAAGTAGGTCACGGCACTTCGCAAAACCTTACGATGTTTAGAACTTCTGGTTACAAATGTTTCATACCTATTCGAATAGTCTCAATATTGTCAGTTGACAGTAAGGAACTGATATTCCTTGCAGGAATAACAAATTTTCGATCTAACCATCCCCACATTAGCCAACTATTATGACTGTCAACAGCTGTGACAGCCATGCATGGTTGTAAACTTGGTTCAGTCTAGTAGAGTCATATTTGGCAGTTGCGCAATTTGGAACCAAAACTGGTTCTTGAACATACTCTTGTCACCACAAATCTGGTACCAGAAGTAGTGACTCGTGAGACTTACAGCCCTATATGAGAGGAAGAGTCTGATTGGTGGAAAGGAAAGACAGGGAAGATAAATATGTGGTAACAGTCACAGGTGGCAACATATGTAACTTTTATATGTCGGGAAGAGTGAGTGAGCTTGGTTTTACACTACTCTTGGCAATATTCCAGCAATATCATGGCAGGGGACACCAGAAATGGGCTATACACTTTGCACCCATGTAAGGAATTGAACCCGGGTCTTCGGCGTGACGAACAAACGCTTTAACCACTTGGCTACCCCATCACCCCTATCGGGAAGAGGATGATAAACTTACTTACAGGAATATATATATTGTGTGTGTGCGTGTCTGGAAAGCAGTGGGGTTGCCAGAGGAGCAAGATTCCAGCCTTATTCTTGTGGCCTGCAAGTAAGCAAGGTTGAATCAGACAATCCAGTGAAATCTAGTTTGAGTAATGATTCACACCATTGGGGTACATGGCATACTATCAAGGACTCAGGGACCAAAATCATTTAATCACCTCTTTGAACTGAAGGAGGTTGCTGGAGATCACTTCTTAGCCAGTATTCCCAGGGTGAATTTTGAAACTGACATCTGATGACAGACATTGGGCGATATGGACATTTACATCCTAGAACACTCACAACTAATTGTCAGTGGAAGAGGAGGTCATGTGACACCTTGCTGTCTTCATAGATGGAGAGCAGTTATCTTATTTTTTATTTCTAAAAATCTGAAACTATGTTTGAAAGCTACCAGAAAGTTCTTTGGCATGTTTTTTTGACAGGTGTGCTCTTGCCACTGATTACCACTGATAGGATTGGGTTGCACTAAATTACATCTGTTTGGATCATTGTTTTATGTCACATTCAGTGAGTGAGCGAGTGAGTTTAGTTTTACGCCGCACTCAGCAATATTCCAGCTATATGGCGGCGGTCTGTAAATAATCGAGTCTGGACCAGACAATCCAGTGATCAACAGCATGAGCATCGATTGTCACATTCAGAAATATTACAGCAACATGATGACAAGTGACAAGTGACAAGTGACAATCCAGTGATTGTTTTTGTTTGCGATGAACCATGCCCAAACAAATTCCAATCATTCCAGCCAGTTTTGGGGGTGGACAGGGTTTGGGTTAAGGCTGGGGTTACCCAACCCTAACCCTAATATAATTCACAGCTAATCCACTTTCATTTTGAATTTTGACATAATACCATTTTCTAATTAATATAAATAATATATAATTTTAGTGACTTAAGTGGCCAGAACGATCAGAGGTCTTACCCCAGTGGCATTAGGGTACTATAACACACGATGAACCAAGTCACCAAGTCTGACCGCTCAATCCACTTGGCCTCTTCTTGAGACCACCAGGTTTCTGGGGATCAGTTCTAATCTGGAGTGACCAAAGGCACATTGGACCTATAATAAAACACATGACAAAGTTTCTGCCTTCAAAAACACTTGGGGATTGTGGTTAGAATTAGTCCCAAACACTCTACTGTGTGTGTAAGCAATGTTAAAGGGCAGCTTATTTGGAGAACTGAGCATTATGTGGAAAGACTTGCGCCCGTATTCCCCCTTAAATTTCACTCGAGTCAACTCATATCACCTGAATATATATATTCCTCATCTGATAAGGATGAATTTTAATATGTTTCTTTAATTGTATCTGAACATACGGAAAGACACATCCAACTTCTAAAAGTGCCACTCAAAGAAATTGGTATTCATCGTAAACATTTTGGGGATACGGGCGGAAGTCTTACCCATTATGTTACCCAGATGGGTTTGTGTGGCCCAAACTTTACAACCTACAGGGAATCATGAAATTGCTGGACTAGACTCTATGGCTTACTATCTCTGACAAAAAACAATTAACTTCAAACACTTAAATATATATTTGAGCAGGTGTGAAATCCATTTTCCTTGCCATGCATCAACGAAATGTGAGAAGCATGTAACATATAACGAATATAAGCAATATGTGACCTAAAATTTCTCTTCACTCAGCTACTGAACCTTATTTTCTTTTGAGCAGCATAATGAAAGGACTCAGAAATATAAGCAAGTTCAGCCTAGTCTTGGCGGTAAAAAAATCAGTTATCCTATTGTGACGTGCTCCGCCAGCATGACGAGCAGTCGATAATCAACAGGTCATATAATAGCAAGCCAAATACAGCACGGGGCTAGACCCACCATTGAACTCTCTAAATAGACCTGTAGACTGCAGTAAACATGTGTTGCGCGCCATTGAGTGAGCTCTTCGAATGCGAGGCTGAACACAATAAGTCCACTGACCATAGGTCAATAAATGTTTCGTTGTTTCACAACTGAGCATTACCATTTCTCAGTTCAAACAAGGATTGTAGCTGCTATGTCGTGGCTTGGTTCGTATTCCGACATCATCAACTTGATCAAGGAAAGAGAGAGAGGGCATGATACATATACCATGACAACACAGACCCCATCAATCACACCTCGTCACTAGCCCCGCCCACATATCCCAACATGCTTCTAAACGATCAATGACGTATCCAAGATGGATTCCATAAAGCTCGCGAACGAAGCAACCATTCGACCTCCAATTTTCATGGTTTTTAGAAGCATGTGCGTGAAGATACTGATTCGTGCAACTTCTACAAGTGACAATGGATCAGATAGTATTACCTGTGATCTACTAAAAAGTTCGGTTTGCCTGCAGCGCATGAAAGATGATGAAGGTGGGATCGGTTGACAAATGACGTAATGACCTTGCAGATATGCAAATTAGAAAGGTCGGGGTCACTTGACTATGCAGATTTGGGATGTCGTGACCTGAACGAAACAGAATCATAGCGTTGAGTTGACTGGATGCCTGGCTGTGTAGTCGGTGACTGCAATTTGAGTGTAATTCGCCGCTGTTTACAAGAATCTGTTGCGCTGGATTTCTCTTCCAATATGACAGAAGAAGTATTCAAAGGTAGTTACTTCATATTTCAGAGAAAATATTTGTATTTTGACGGAACTGGCCGAGAAAACCACAGACAGATTGAGGAACAGTGGGAACTGGCCAGCCGAAAGAAAAATCATCCTGTCGGTGGGGAATCGTTTCAGCACACGGCTACACTGTAGATAATTTCTGGGTCCTCTGGCGATAATATGTCAGATACATCTGTTTTACTGTTATTTCTTCAAGTGTTTATGACAGATATCTTTCATAGTTCGAAAAATCGGTCTAGGACATGATGTCTGTCTTCGTCCCCTGCTTGTCAGTGGTTGGGTCATGTTCCCGTCAAGCTCACAATGAACTATCTGCACAAAATGTTACTAAAGATTAAATTTGTGTGATTTTTGTATTTTTCAGCTCCACGGAACAAACGGAGGTCATTACAGTCAAATTCTGAGGTAGGTGTAGCTTCCTTTAACTGTAAATCGGTTTCAAAATAGCTGTACTTTGTTGAATAGCAAGATGGCGGATATCTTACTCCCTCAACTTGGTCGAAACCTTCAGTGGTGACTGCGTCAAAATGGACCAGCGCAAATCAGATCTTTCAGCGTTTCATGTTAATCTGAAAAAGTATGTCGAATATTTACTGAAGTTGAATGTTGTGTTGTTTGGGTAGAGGTTTGGTTTCGTGGACAATGATTCATATTTGCATTATTCGATGGTGTAACTAATTACCGTGGTGTGATGGGTCATATCGAAGATATTATGTCAACACTCGTTTTTGTAACTTATATTCCATTGTTGAGTTCGTTAAGTGAATATCGACAAGGTAATGTGCTGATAAATTGTAAGACTTTGACATTTTTGAAAGTTGCATCAGTTGTCATTGAAGTTCTGCCTTCACTGATCGTCATAATCTCAAATCACATTGTTTCATGAGAAGAAATTGTTTCATCCAAACCGGAATGAAATGGCTGTAGATAACATAGACTTATTAGTATAAATGCTGGGGCCTAAATGCTTACTGAGTGTGCCGGTGTCAACTGGATAAGCACCAAAGCTAATTCATTGTTCTATGGACGAAATCAAGCCAGTGGTTTTTCGTCAACATAAAAAGCATATTATTTAAAGAAGGGTGTGTATGATCAGTTGTTTGTCAATGTTATTGTGATGAGCAGTTGAAGTACGTCGTCGTAGATAAAAAGTTCATACAAGTGCCCCATTTATCCCGCTTTCCGAAAAGTCCCGGCAGAACTCGCATTGTAGTTTTCACTGTTCATGAAAGAACAGTTTTAGGATTGCTTGAGTGTTGTATGTGAATCAGTACTTTCAAGTTATAGACAGGAGATCTACTAAGAAACACCTGTCTGATGTTGGTGGTAATTGCGTGAACACCATGTCAAATTGTTGCTCTCTCAACTACTTGTCTGTCCCCCAAACAAGATGGCGGACAGCTGTGTGAATATATAATGAGGTGACGTAGTGTAAACAAATGGAGGGGTAGATGGGGAGGGGGTGTTTGACAATGTCGATGGATACTGGGATACTGATCCGTTCGTTTCTTAGGACACAGCAGCTGACTGTCACCGAGAATGTCCTAACCATTTCGTTTTGATAATGATTTAAATTTAGTAATGATAGATGTGGTGTCAACATGGTCAAAGTTAACTAAATCATGAAATTGTCAAATGTTAAATTTCATCCCCAGAATATCACTGAGATACCTCACTGATGTTGCGTTTAAAATGAGGTAACATTATTACTTCATGTTTTACCTACTTGCCCTAATAGCAATTGACATAAATCCAGGTGTGTCACACAGAAATTACCTTACGAGGTTTTCTATGTAGATCTGTTACTGTTCAGTGTTTGCTCACATACAGTCTGTGTTCATACTCAGATATTTGATCATGATGAATGTACTGCACCAGCTGTCATGTCTTCTTTAGGAGTTTACCCAGGTTATTTTTTACTGTATTCCTTAATGAGTTTCGTGGTGATTAAGTGAATGTCCTTTCGAAACAGACCCAGACAAACCAAAGTTGAAGATTAATAATCCATTTCTGCATCATCTGTTCCACCATACATTTTCGTAGATGTTCACCCAGTTTTATTGCTGTAGATCAGTGTTGGCAGCAGGAGAGTCAGGGACTGACTGAGTTTGGGTTTACGCCGCTTTTAGCAATATTCTAGCAACATCACGGCGGGGGAACACCAGAAATGGGCTTCACACATTGTACCCATGTGGGGATTCGAACCCGGGTCTTCGGCGAAGGAGAGTCAGTGGGTCATGGCAGTGTTAAAAATTATGGTCATTCCTTTAGGGTTGCTTCCGTAAGTATTTGAATCTCTGGACCAAATAAATTTTTAACTTTTTGCATTAGAGTTATGACAACACCTCCTTACTTCTATGTTGAATTTCAAACATTGGTCCTTGTCATAACCCTATCAAATCAGAAGTTTATTAGATTTATTTGGTCCTTTTGATTCAAGTTGAATTTTTTTAGGGAAGAATTTGAAATTTTCATTTCTGGAAAATGTTCTTTAATCCATGTGTTATTTGTTTTTTGCAGATGAGCACATCACCTCATAAAAAGAAAAGAACTAAAGAAGATTTCATGGATTTCTGTGCAATGGTTTTAACATACACCCAGTATGAATCCCACAGACAAGATGTAAGTACAGTGGAGTATTCATAAGTTTCATTCGGTGTTTTCCTTGATTTGAGAGGTTGCATGTGTTATCACTCGTGCTGGTTTCCACTCGCAATACATGGATCGATCATCAGAATTTAGTAATCAATTACAAATAATTAAATAACAGTAAATCCTACCACAAAAATCATGTTGGCAATAACGGGACAGAATCAAAACAGTTTTCAAAGAGAACAAACACTGATTAACACTACGATTGAGGATACTTCCCGTTGAGGCATGTACAAGTCTGTTGTTTACATTGCAGTTTTACAAGTCAGGAATCTGCATCAGTTGATATCTTGATTTAACAAACATTATACAATAAGTAGAAAATACATTCTCAAGTATAATTTAATGTTTCATTTTCATGAATATTGATTAGTCTCCCGAGCCCATTGATAATCGCTGGCACACACGAAATCAATCTATTGATCAATTATTTGATCAATCAATCACCCCAGCACTAGTTGTCCCACATTAATATTGTTACCTGTGACATCATTTACAACTTTAAAATCCGTGACTGCAGAGACCCAGGAACCAACTATATTTTTTATGTTGCTTGTTGCCATTGTTCTGAACCTTAGATGTCATTCACCACTGTTGTTTCATCAGCATTCTAGAATTTGTCGAGTCAATAATGAAGCATAAATTGATGGACAGCGGCGTTTTGTTTATTGCTATCACTTATCAGTGATGTTTGTTACACCATTATCAAACAAACAGTCTACACTAAAATATCACTCTATGCAATAAACAAGAAGTTGTTATCCATGAAATTGTATGCATCATTATTCATTTCTTTGTTACAAAATTCAATCTTCAAAACTAAACCCGTCATACAATTATGCTATGAAACTTATATTTGTGTAGGTGTGTGCATGAATCAAGTAAACCTGCATATCAACATGTTCAGTCAAAACTAATTTTCTTGCTTTTTACCAATTTTAATCCAGTTTCTAATTCAGTTTGTTTCGTGGCCAGTATGGTCTTAGAGGTGGCCACCCCTGGTATTAGACATATTTGTGACCAGCTAATGAAGCGATTCGCATTCTACTCACTACTATACAATTTCACATGTGTGACTCAGCATGTCTCTACTTGTATACAAATTCTAAATGTCTCCAGCTGACATTTTATGTAATAACTCAATTTGTGAAATCTGTGATTACATGGGAATAATTGTTTCATTTATAAAAGTGTTGTCCAAGTGTACACACCAAAATATGGCTCGGATTTTAAAACATTCTCATTTATGACATATAGAGACAAGCTGTGAGGTATGTGGTTGCTTGAAGTATAGAAAATGTCACATGCTGTGAGCAAACATTAATTACACACAGAAATTTGGGTATCCTTAAAGCTTGTAGAATGTTTGAAGCGTTTTTTACTTTGAAAGTCTGCAACAAAATTCCTACATGTTGATATGACAGGTATGTTCAAAACTAAACATTGAATTTATATGATCTGAATATATTGATGTGACAAGAGGCCTGTGTGTGTGTAGGTTGTCATCATGTTCATTTTATTTTTAGATTATTATTTTTTAGAATACATGACATAAATGTTTGTGAGTGGTGAGTTAATAAACATCTGTGTTAAGATGACTTATGTCCAAATAAGGAGAATGACGTCATTATGTTTGCTATGGCCTGATAGTGATAGTTCTGTTACATGTGCCACTTCAGGATGTACTGGGTTTTTTGGGAACTGAAGTATTTTACAATCACAGTAGAATTATTAATTATTTTACAAATCAATGTTTTGTCTAAAACTTCTTTAACCTGAACAAACTGCAACTGAAACCAGTAAGTCAAAATACTAGTTGAAAGTTTAAATTTTAGACAGAAGTCTGAGTCTTGTCAAGTTCCTTATCATTTACATTCAACTTATTCTAATCCATATACTGAGACTTACTTAAGATATCCAAGGATGCAAGCTCTGGCTATTAGACCCAGATGTTATGCACTGACTACTAGTAGGTTAATCAACGTTGTCTTCTGATAAACAGGAGAAATATAGTCATACCCATCAAAGAGCACTTGCTAAAAGGTGTATATGAAAGTAAGAGTTACTATCAGGAACTAATTTCTTTTTGCATAATAGTCAGCTTTATATCCGTTTTGCTTTCAACAATATCGTGAGTGTAGAAATAGCAAAATATGTTCATGAAAAGCCTAATTTTGTATATATATTTTAACACTGAGGACAGTTTATTGGTAGGTTGTTTTCAACATGGTAATATGTTTTAACAAACTGAAATACTGGGTTGTAATAGTGTTTGTTTAGTGTTTGCCAGATACAGCTGTCAATAGTTTTGTTGATTTTTTAATAAAGTTCCCACTCTCAACGTTTCAGATATATTTCAACCACTTTAAAGACTGCATTCAATACAACATTGTTCAACTAAACATTATCGTCATATGAGCGAAATATTCTCAAGCACGACATTAAACCCAATTTCACCTCACCTCACCTCACCTCAACTAAACATTAAAGTCTCTACCTCTTTATTGTTTCTGTTATCAGTAGAATCGATGTAACGGCTATACGGCTATAGCATTAGATAAGACTAATAGCATGAACTGGGGAACCTACTTCCAATTTTGCTATTTTCAGTGACATTTTCTGTAAAGTACCAGCCTCTGAGCATGTCTAGATGAATCCCAGGTTCAATGTATTTTCATCTACGTTGTAAATATTCTGACAGGTAGACATGTTTGTGTTGTACTGCCAGAGTGATGTTGTATACCCTGTGTCCTCGGACATACTGATAACTAGCATTACCATATTGTGTCTGGTTGTCACCAATTCACACTTGCGTAGGAGGTGGTGCACACAGTGGGGGGTAATCACGCTACTATTTCAGAATAGAATCATGAAGTTATTCAATGTTTGAAACAAAAATATTTGTTAAGAGTCGGGTTGCAAATAAACTGATCGTGTGGAAGAATGCTTTAACAAGTATCATCTTTTCAGGGACTTGAACTAAAATCTGGTATTGCATCAGACCTAATAATAGCATGCTTGCAACAGGCCACCCCAGTAGTAATCTCAAAAGGTGCAGGGTAGTCTGAATACAGGTTCTGATATAGGAGTGGAACACTTTTGTTACATCTTTTCAAAAACTTATTTCATTAGTGGCATTTTATGTGTTCATATCTGATGATAATCTTGGCACTAAATAAGACTTTGCTGTTTCTCATTTTGTTTCTTCATTTTTGTTTCTTTACTGCCGAAATGGCATGAATATCTGAGGCATGTAAATCTGAAACACTTAGATGTCAGTTGGGTAGCTTTGAAAAGCTTCAGTAATGTGCAAAATATGAAAGTAAATATGGATAAAAATCTTTACTCTTCATCTCAGTATGACAAATGTTGGATTACTACCAGTCTATCTGACGCTTATCACGTCAATGAATGTTTCTTCTGTACCATTACCAAAAGGAAAATATCTTTAGGACATTTAGGATGAAAATCGATCATTGTTCCAGCAAATGAACTAATCGTAATCCTGCTTGATCATAATAGTGACAAGACATGATTATTATGTCGAGTGAAGTATTTCAAATGAAACAGGGATATACCATATTCATGTCATAAGGATCCTGAGCATTTACAATGGACAAAAGGGGGTGTATTAGACCATACAACAAATTTGTTGTCAGAAACTCTGGGGAACAGATTTAGTTCAAACTACTAAGAAAACAAGTTTTTTTCAATAATAGTTAATTGTCTATCTATCTATAAAGTATTTTCAAAATGTGAACTGGCATTACATATTTCCTATCTTGGTATGTGTCCATCAAAAAGGTTACTTGCAGACAGAAGCTGGTCAGTAGGTGCTTATTAGTGTAGGGCACATAAAACTGTGGTATATTAATAGTACATCACATAGGGAAAACAATCCCTTTAATGCATTGGATATTGTGTCAACATTGTGGGAAAAGATTTCTGATTATGTTCACTTCAAATTTGTTATGATCTTGCAGAGACTGAAATGGAGGACCCCTAATATTTGGTTTTACTTTCCCAATTAGGACACTTGAAGTTTGTGCTATAGTTCAAACACCTCCTATCCATGAAAAGAGACTGCAAAATTAATTTTGATGTGAAATCTGGTTTCCATGGAAACCCATTTTGTGTGAAATCTATTGTCAAAGACACAGCTGTTGCTGATAAGCTCAAGTTTAGAATGGGCTATACACAATATGTCCTCTTTAGGGCTGTAGAGTCTGGGCTGCATGAACATTCAATTGATATGAAATATTGGCTGTTGGATGCAATGTTTTAGTTGATGTCATGCCTGATATGTTGTTATTCATGCATTTTTTGTAGTTATTATAAACCTGGTCTGTCTCCAAGATCCTACAGAATACATTGATAGTGGAGTCCAACGGAAGTCTAGAATGTATGACAAATCTGAAATTAAGATATTACTATCATCTTTTAACATGTTTAATTCAGACACATTATTTCTTTAGCAGAATTCTTCTTTCTGGGACCGAATGTCAATCTATTTTCAACATGTAATGCCAAGTGTCTGCCATAACTCTTATCTCACATTGATTAAAGAGAAGGACCCTCATTACCTGGGCTTCATACACAGACCAGTTCCTAGTCATAAATTACAGTATTATCCTTGTCACACTGTCAGAAAAATTACATCCCAGCAGGGACTGGGATAGAGAACTTTGACAATGGGCCATTTTCTGGATTATTAGCCATTTTATGAATTTAGAAAGGGACACTGCCCTTGTATCAATAGTAAGCTTCAAAATTTTAATGGGCCATTTTTTATTCTAATGTGCAAAATGGCCCATGGCCCCTGCCTTTCCCAATCCCTGTCCCAGTAAAACTGAAGAATGTGTAGGTATTTTTGCTGAACATGGTTAGACAGGACAAGCCATATGTTAGTGTAAGGCAAGTGAAGATGTATAAGGACTTTGAACGTGGTAAGTGAACGCAGTATTATATTAGGTACATGTATATCTGTATATTGAGGTTTATACTTTCCATGGGTAATTATCACATGAAATTCATTACCTTTTAAGGCCGTGACAGGTCTACAAGGTTTCCCTCAGACATGATCAACTTTGGTAGGTTTACAGTTCAAGTAAACAAATAGCAACTCTTCTGATGGTTGAATTTATACTCTGAAAATTAGCATCGCTGCTGTGGGCACAACAAGATGAAACACAAGTGTGTTAATGCTGCTCAACACCTTATGTTGTGCTGCATGTTTGTTCAGTAACACTATGATTCTACGATGATGCATGATATTTTGTTCGCTCTTAACTCATCACTATTTGTTAATTAAGGTACTGGGTATTTTTTATCTGACACCTAAAACTGCTCGCTGAGCTCAGGTATAACAGCTTGTGAGTTAGGAGACTTTGTACAATAGTCTGAAGATGAGATTATTCACCTTAACTAATCTGGTTTTGTGTAACTGATATAACAATACTCAATCTTTGCTTTTGAGAAGCTGTTTTTCTGAAATGGTATCTTGGCTTGATATAATCAAATAGGGACCAGACAGGTAAGTTACAGTATCAGCAATTCAGGATTAAGGTATATGGAATGAATGAATGAATGAAAGGGATGTTTTTCAAGGTTCATAAAAACGTGTGATTTTTAAAATATACCCCGGATTGAGGTGCTGCAAGCAAATAGTTGGCTTGGCAATTTCATTTTGTTGCTATTTTCATAACAAACATGGTTTAAAAAACTAAAGTACTTGTTACCTCACACATTTTTCCGAAACCCAAACAAATATATCCTTGTTCATAAATAACAACACAAATATCAGTCAAAGTTTTGTTATTTTATTCATAGTGATCATTGAAGGATTGGATGAGCAACCTGTCACATATGAAGGAAATACTCATGTTGAAATCTCTATGAAGATTTCACCTTGATAAAATGTCTGCGGAGCTCTTAAGTAATTTACTCTCAACACACATTGCAATATGCTGTAGGCGAAGTCATAAACTGTCATTGCCAATATCGTGAAAAATTATCTCATTACCGGTGAAATCTCGGTGAATGTTACCAGCTAACAGGCCAGAGCAAGCTTGACTGCCAAATATGCTTGCCCTTTGCTGGCAAGGTGAAGGTCAGATGAAGCTGGCTGCTATAAATAGCTCTTGACACACATCCTCATTTCCACTTGGATTGTGAAAAAAATCATTAGTAGCAGTGTTTTGCATTATTGCCCAAACCTGAAGGAGATGGGTTTGAGAGGAGCTTACCTGATATGGCTGAGTCAAAGTTTTCAGAGGTATGAGTGAATATGCATTTACAGAGCTCAAGATTGTTCAGAGGCATAATCCTGGACTGAAATCTCAACTGCCTGGTCAGGGCAGTTGGCACTGAGCCAACCAGGGGCTTCCAGTCATGTGATATGCTGGGTGTTTCTGATTGGCTGTAATCTTATCTGGTTGACTTCTGGGTCAGTTTGCAGCAGAGAGTGAAGTTGTTTACCTCTAATCTATAAATGTCAGTGTATCTTTCGGGAAGAAACTAACTGCATGACCAGTTTTATTAATATATGCATGCAGTATTGCAAGGCCATATTGACATGTCATGACATGTTAAGATGCGGAACGGAATGAGTGCTTTGGGTTCCAGTTCTTTGAAGACATTCATATGCAAATCTGGCTGCAGTCAAGTGAGATCTGCAGCAGCTTGTCATGAATGTATGAGAAATGGTTTTCCTTTTTTGGATGGATATGATTGTCCATTCCTAATGGTACACATTACTACATTTATTACAATGGTAGTATGAAGTTGTTTTAATTGTAGAATACTGTTATCACCTGTGTTGCTGACAGTGTTTGCATGAGGGGGGTGGAATAGTTGTGGTTGCCATGGGAACCATTATTTGACCTTTCATTGTCTGACCCAGCTGAAATATATAAAAGCTAGTATTCAAGTGTATGCAATGCCTTGTAAAGTACTGTTTGTAATCTATGGCTGTGTGTGGTGGTGGTTGATGTTGTTGATTGGACCGGTGTCTTCAATATCTGTTGATATTTGCAATGTCTTTTTAAATGTGTATGAAATATATCTCTTGAAAGTTCACAGTGTTTACTGTTGTTTGAGTCATGCATCAGTAGGCCAACATATTTTTTAATTGTTTTCAACAAGACCCTGAGAGATACATTTACTATTACAGGAAATGAGATCAACTGATAATGTCAGTCCACTCGATAGTGGAGGCAGTACAGCAGAGAGCTACGAGGCAGAATCCACTGAGTCAGCAAATTCTACTATGTCTCTTTCCGAATCTGAGCATTATGGTTCAAGAGATGACTCAGAACCAGGTATGAATGATATCCCTGTATCTAATCATTAGCTACAGATACAAATATAACATTAGAACATACAATGATTACAGTCTGCAATTTCAGCAACTAACCCAAAAGCTGAGTCTATTGACAGTTTGTTTTTTAGGAAGGTTACATTATACTTGTCAAAGAACCGAAACTGAAATACTTAAAATAATGGCTAGTGGTCTCCAAAATTGTTTTTGCCAAACTTACTATTAGCAAGATGTTTCTAATTTGCAACATGATTTGTTCTGCATCTGAGTGTCCCCAATGGCATATCTTTACTGATCACTGCAAAATATTTTTTCACAGGTGTATTGGAATCTTGGAACTTGTATTGGCACAGATGCTGTTAAATGTAGTGACAAATCTGGTTATGTATTTTGGCATGAATCAAAGTGTTCTGTTTGTCATGATATTATTAAATGTTGAAGTTCTATGAGGTCTCGGGACCCCCTAAATTTGGAAATAGACTTGATTGAATCAGGCATGTTCCTAAGTTTTGCAACATCTAAGATGTTTATGTTTCTGTTACAGAAGACGATTCTCATGAACTCATCACATGCTTCTGTCTGAAGCCTTATGCTGGAAGGCCTATGATTGAGTGTAACGAGTGTTTAACATGGATTCACCTCTCTTGTGCTAAAATCCGCAAAACGAACATACCTGAGGACTTCACATGTCAGAGGTGCAGAGACGCTAAGTTCACAACACGCAAGTCAACTCGCATGCGAATTGAGAGCAAGCGGATAAGCACGTAACACAAGTATCATGTGCGACTGAGAGACATATTGTGATATTCTCAGAGGGAAGTCTTTCGGGTGATGTTCTTGGCAGAACATGGGCATTACACTGCCGCTCAAGTGCTATGGACAGTCGACACATTCCATGTTTGTGAACCCTCATCGTTCTTGTTCATTACATGTTATCAACGTGTTCATTTGAAACATAAATTCATCGTCAAGTTCCACTTTCAGGAAAGGAATCTGAAAACAGACGGAATTACTTTCCCTTTATATCGCAGCCCTTCGTTGCAGAATGAATGGTCTGGTTCGCATGGATGCATAAGTCATATGAGAATGTCAGTTTCTTTGAGCAGTTTAAAATGATACTTGAATATTTGATTTTCACTTCAGATTTGATGCTGCCCATACTAGTTATTTTCACAAACACCTGGCTATTTTAGGTTCTTTTAGAACAGAATTTTGTTGTTATTTTATCATCCTTTGTTACTTTTGAACTAATTAAGGAGACACTGGCTCCTTTGAAATGTAATACATACATGTTAATCAAGAATTTGGTAGTTTCAACACAATTTCACCATGTGGAGGTCCATGCGATGTTCACTGCCATGCCTTTCATGTGATTGGATTTAGTCTGTCAGTAGTTGTCACTACAAGTTTTGCAATATTTGTTGTTTGCTTAAAAACCCCTTAAGATGGACATAACTGATGTTGTACTTAAAATTAACACACCCTTTTAAGATCAAAGCACAAAGCACATCCTCCATGAAAATTTGTCAGACAGATCTCAATTTGTTGATAAACGCAATAAATAGATTGGAAGCTAGTGGTGGTGTACATTGCTGTAGCCTTGTGGTTTCAGTTCTGTTGCTGATCAACAATCAGATGGATTATATTTTGTGATAATCTTTTATACATGGAGATGACTTGTCACAGGGTAATGTCCAGTATTTGTGTGAATTCTGAAATCTCGACCACATCGCAGAACCATTTCATAACAGTAACTTTTACCAATGTTCATCCAGCACATTCACATTGAGCCTTTTTTAAATACATAAACTAATTTGTTAATTTTTCTTGCATGTTTGGAAGATAAAACTTCTCCATGCATTTGAGGAAGAAACATATTTTTATATTGATAGTAACGTCAAGTGTAGGTTCTTTCTTTTTGGTGAAACACATATTTTTTTAAAACAATCAAGTCAATGTGATTATTTTGTTCGATACAATTAAAATAGATAGGGAAATTTAAGTCAAAGTGAAATTTTTACCAGTAACAATTCTTGTTTTTGTGAAAGATTTTATAATGTACATGAACTTATATTTTCCCCCAGGGTTTTATGAGTAACAGTTTTGTTTTTTGTGAAAGATTTTATGATGTACTTGAGCTTATATTTTTCCTGATCATGTGTATAAAGTATGTCGAAGGAGGCTAGTGCTTAATGGTGCCCATTTTCAGTCTAGGTCTTTAATTAGTGCCATGTGTGAAACTGGGACATTGTATTTTTGGTATTTGGAATAGTCATCTTTTGATTTACAATGGAATCTGCCTAAACCAGACTTAAGTGGGGGCCAATATAAAGTTAAAGACTGCACTCCAGTTGGAACAGAAATCTGACTGGCAAGAATTACGTGCCTTGATGTCTCCCGTGTGACAAGACATGATCAAAGCTGTGTACATGCAGAACAGTCTGTGTTTAACATAATGGACTTACAAACAGGAAACATGTTTAGTCCTTACAATTATAGCTTGTAGCGAAACCTTTAAAATGTCAAATGTCTGCCAGTCAGGGGTGGAAATAACCCATTGCCCGATGTCCGAGTCCAGTGTTTTTTTCTTTCGGGCAAGCAAATTTGTATATCATACTGTACCGGTGTCCAGTTGACTTTCCAATGTTAATAATGTTGTTTATTTAAAACATCAACAAGAAAACAGCCGGTAAAGTGGAAAAATGATCAGGGCAAGTGATTTTACATGTGCCACTGTACCGGAGTACACTAGCAATTTTATAGTTATTTCCACCCCTGCCAGTCCTTGTGATACTATTTTGGGCTGTTCTGCAAGGGCTTTAGGACCAGTTGTTGTAGTAACATGATTGTGTGGATTCTGTCATCAAAGCTATATTACTACTGAGCCAAGTTCATTCATGACATTTGTGTAAAGTCCATCAAGATTAAGGAGCATCAATTACATGTTGGATTGGTCCTATGTCCCAGAATAAAAGTAGTGGAATTGGGCAGGCTAACTGAATCAGGTTCCATTGTACATCATAATACTGCAGATATCAGCAGTGTACAATCTAACCATGGTGATGAACTGAACCCTGGCTAGTTGTCTCCCATTAAGAAATGTATTTTGTGAAGGGTAAGTGAAATGATTTGTATTTGTAGGCGTCTATCTATGACAATGACTTAGTTAAAGCAATACATCGGATGGAAGAATTGTTTCTTCACTTAGCTAATTTATTAAAACCATTTTGTTTTGTAATGGTATTTATTTAAAATTCTTGTGTGCTATTTTTGAAGTGTTAGTTAGAATACTGATTATGCAGTTAATATATAGAATGTGAAAGGAAAGGGAATGAGAGAAAATATGCTGACTGCTCCTTCAAGTAGGTCACGGTTCATTTCTTTAAATTCAGTGAAATTTAGGACTCATAAGAGATTAAATTGAAATATAAAACTGATATGTTAGAATTGTTTTTTGTTTTACTGACACGGCATTTAAAATCTTGCATTTACATCTATTCGCTTCATGGAATTTTTGTCTTTTTATTTATGTTATTTTTTTAACAGGTACTTTTGTGGGTGGATTATTTAATCAAAATAAATTGTTAATATTTTTTGTAATATCAAAATTTGAAAATTTCAGTAAACATACCAATAAATGCGCAGGTAATTAATACTTCATGAATTTGTAAGTGGAGCTGAAGGAAAAGCAAGGTGTGATCCAAACAGCGGTATAGCTCCAGGTTGAAAGATAATGGATGTCCTGTGCACAGCAATAAAGTGTCTACATGTTGTACCTTTACATGCATTTGTAATGTCAAAGCTGAAGTGCCATATTTTCACAAAGGGAGGCAATTCACTCAAACGGCATCAAGAGTTTATATGTACAGTTTTATTGACATAATGTGTAAGATTTAATATATTGCTTTTTACAAAGTTCCTTCAGACATGTTGAGAAATTGTATGAAATCCGTGTGTACCATGCACATGCAAGTGCTTTTATGGAAGGAAAGAGTATTGTCCAAATGTACAGTTAGTTAGCTTTTGTACTAAACCGTATGATAATTCAAGCATCACAGTATTTGGATGATGGGTCTTGCCTATATGAACCCAGCTTAAGCTTTCCACTCCATAAAGTCTATTTTCAAAGACTGTTTACTTTATTGAGGCACAACATTTGTCCTATTTTAGATTGTCTGTGACTACATCTGTTGTGTGAGTGAGCTGGCTATGAGGTTCACAAATGTGTACTTACAAAGTTTACAAGCCTAACAGATTTGACTTAATCAGCCTCTCGGGGAAAGTTTGTCAGTAGTCTGGCTTATATGACTTACTTTGTATCAATGCATCTTGATGAAATAACAAGCTATATACCTACGCACCTATCATTTCATTTAATTCTTTAATTCTGTATTAATTTCAAAAGATGACATAGAAATGAATAAAAACCCACCTAAAGGTTACTCCGGCTAGCTTTACAACTACTCTCGTCAGAAACAAACAGCTTTATCTGACTGCATAATACAGACAAATTGAACATAAAGTTGTCCTTCTTGAGAGGTTTTCAATGTGTATCAATACATAGGTAGGTATATTGGGACAGCCTAAGCCAGAGGTACATCCTGATACTGTGTCAAAATGTGTACTCAAAACCAAACTTTTGCTCAAAATGAGGCCTTGAAAATGAAACATTTCCAAATTAGTCTTCATCCTTTAAAGAATTGTAATTCCGTTGCCTTATGAGTTTTCTCAGCCTAGATGTGTCTTTTCATCCTTGCTTCATCCTTGCTTATCTCCCTTCTACCAGGACATGTATTAGGAACAAGCCACTGTAGTTAATATTGGAAGTGACATCACTAGGTCCATCCGTGACATCACTGGAATTTCTCTCGCTCATGAGCTTAAACTGAACAACCTAATTGCTTCTTCTAAACGTGATTGCAGCATGTATGTTCATAGATGCAGTTGCAAATGAGTGAATGCTCAACATTTAGTGGGATCTGAAGAAGGTTACATATGTACGGAGTATCAAAACAGGGATGTCAGCCCTAAGTGTTCCAGTATTTGAAACAATACAAGACAAAGACTACTATCGTGGTTTGTAGCTGTCATGAAATCATCAAAAAATACCAGTGTGTTATGGGGGTGGGCTATTTTTGGAGCAGTGTAGGCAAATGAGTCCAGGCAATTTATCACAATAGAATGGAGATACAATACACAACATTGTGGCCCCTACTCCTGAAAATGTCTCTAATTTGTATGGTTAGTGCTTTCAGACATACATACACCAAGATCAGTCACCAGCCTTCTTTCTCTCTTATCATTCTGATTGTTTTCAAGATGTTTATGGCATGTTAGGTCATTTGATAACCAGTCTGGATTTGGAAAATGGTAATTTGTGACAAAATGCATAATACTAGCTGCAAGTAAACCTTGTTTGTGCTGTTACGTGTTCATGTTGTGGAATGCAGGATGTAAATGGTGCAAATGCCCTTTTTGTTCTGTTTTGGGGAGAATTTCAAAGCCTGTTTTGTTGGAGATATCTGATCTCAAAAGAACCTTGGTTGACTTCAGAAACCTATCTAACAGAGTTCCACATTCGAGAAGTATTTTCCGATGCGAGTTCAGTTTAAGATTTAACTACATACTTTCAACATAGTTGCTTTTTATAATCTGAACTAGGATATTTTCATGCAATTGTGGTTGTCAGGTTAGTCTGGGAACCTATGATCCACTAGCATATAGTAACCTTAGATCCATGATGATCATAATTCCCATTCTTTAACATTTGACATGAATATTTAGAACTAAGATCACTTTCTACAAATGAGTCTGTCAACACCTTAAGGTATTTTCTTTTATTCAAGTACATCCACAGAAAACCTCAAGTACCTCCCTTTGTCTGACACTGAAGTTTAGTCAAGGATAACAGCAAAGTTTTATGTAGGGTATTGTTATTCTACATAGTCTTCTCGGTATGTTGTTGAAAACTTTGACAGCTTGGTATTTGAGGTTGGTGTAAGAATTGGGATAGCCCAGAATTCATAGATCTTTGTAAATCAGACATTCGATATGAGTGAAAGCTGGCCTGGTCTGGTCATTGTAAATATGTACAGGTAACCTTTTTTTTTTTTTTTTTTTAAGATGATGTTGCACATGCTACAAGAGCATATTGTCTTTTGTAAATCATTGGACGATTGTTGCAACAATTCATAGTCTGACAAAGTTAATAAAAGCTAAATTTATGAGAATAATGTGTCTTTGTGATTTTTTATGAATGATGTGTGCAGTGTTTTGAGTCAACTAATGGATTTTCAGAAATAATTTAGAAGGCAGCTGTGACCCAGAGGAATGAAGCAAGGACATCGTTATCAACGCAGCAATGCTTCAGTTGTCTTATTGTAGGTCCAATCTGCAATGCAGTATTGCATCCCTTGAGTGTTAGAAACCGAGATTTGGGCTTGAAGTTCATTTCCATGCTGATTATGTTTCAGGGTTTCAGCACCTTTCTTAGTGAACTTTTCATTTCAACTTCATTACTTTAGGCTTTCCTCCCAGACAGGTCATTATATACTACTCACACTTTGCTAAGGATCACAAAATTCACAACTTTACTTAAACAGATTTATAATTTGAAATTATCCAATTAAAAAGTTGATAAATAATGATGTAACACATCTTTAGGAAACCGTATGCACTTGATATCAGAGTAACCATAAAAATGGTTTTCATGGCACCAATCAACCATTTTGCAAATCAAGGCACGGGTCATTGACAAACACACAACACCTGTCAATTTCAGGTATGGGATCCACAAGTTGCAGTGACATACTCAAACCTAGGATCCAGCTTACAATAGGCTGAGATATTTATACCAAATTTGACCCCACATCATAATTTTCTGTTGAATCAATGATTTCATCCTTAGCAAAGTGTGAATAGTATATAAGTGACTGACTTTTCAAAGTGACATTAGACTGATATCTGAGAATAAGTGCTAACCCTGAAACAAACTTGTGACCACACTATTCTAAGTTCATTTGTCGAAGACAGAACCTATGCCCCTGATTCAATAAGCCAGTTTCATGAAATAAGCTTGGAGTGATGTCCCTTTACAAAACCATGTGACCGCTGGCTAATGATTGTCATGTCAAGTGTCAGTACTCTATCAATGCAGATGTCCATGTTGTAGTGTCAATTCTCAGAACATTTGTGAGTGGGTCTGAGACACAGGAGTTCAGTACAGATCAAACCAAAAATCAGGACGATCTCGAATTCCATCCCGGAATCACAGAACTGTTGCCATGCAAAATCGACAACTCAGAGCATGCGACCATGAATTGCACTGTGAGTGTCCCCTACAGAATATCATCAAATCTGGATAACATAAGCTTGATGAACATCAGAGATGCCCACCTGTGCAAAATGGGTGGAATCATTACATGGAGTTGGGAACAAACACAAAGTGAAACTGATTACAATTTTTAAAAACAACTCTGAAGTAAATACAGCTAATCCTATAGGTGACCTAGCTACAGGCATTCTCACATACTATCAACATGCTAACGATAACAAATTCTTTTGAAAATTATTTATTATTGTACCTTACCCATGCTCTGTTGTGTTTAATTGCTATTAAAACTATTTTGGGACTATTTGGTGCACTTAAAACTATTGCAAACATCTCATTTGTCACTACTTCCTTATACATCTAGGAAATTGGAATTTTTCAGTTATATTGTCCTGCATTACAAAATGCATGGCAATCACTGTTGCAGAGATGCCAACCTCTACGATTTTATCATAGTCGCTACGAATTTTAGCCTCAAACCGCCAATACGATTGCACTAGAAATTCTTCAAAATTTGAAGAAAATTCATAAAAATTCGGATATATTGACAAAAACATATATTTTTCATCGATTAAATACATTTTCACCAAAAAGAGACAAGATCAAATGTAATACTGATAATTTGGAAATCTGCTGTCGGAGGTATGTGAAATTAAAGCTTCACTCTTCATAAGTGTCATATTATCTTTCTCAAAGTTCATCATGATTCACAAGTGATGTTTAATATAGTGGTGTGATCAAATTCTGAAATTTTAAACAACATTCGTGATTTTCGATTTATCTAATGTTCTCGATTTTGCATGATTTTTACGTGGAGCTGTACTTAAGTATTTAGTTGACTACTAATTTTATGGTCAAACTACTAACTTTGATCCTTGAAAGTATTTGCAACAGTTTGGGGTTGGCATCTCTGCTGTTGGAATCCTGCATAGGTAACCTGTCTCTCAAAAAGGCCATGGGAAGTTGAGCATGTTTTGTTTGCCCTCTAATTGTCAACCGAGGTTTATTTTGCTTCAAAGAACACAAAAGTGTGGTTATCACAGACATTATCATACAAGTTTCCAGAGACATCCAAAACACTTTTGTGAGAGTTGCTGGTAACATTTGACATTTGAATCAGGTTCAGAAAAAAAATGTGTCAGAGCAACTTGGGTTCAAAGTACTTATCAGATTAGAAGGGAAATGTATTGTTTTTGATAAAGTAGAATCGTGTAAATTGGAATGGGATGCCATTTGAGTATTTTCAGAACCCAAACTGTTTTAAAAATAGCCTGTACCCACACACACCCATCCCTCCAACCATGAGTGTAACAAATAGAACAGAGCACACACAACACAACAGAAGATCAATGACATTTCTCATATTTTATATCACATATATTTACATGATACTTAAATCAACAATAACAGGTTCTTCATCTTCATCATCTTTGCTTGGATACCTTATGCTACTGGAGGTGACCAATTGGACATACAGAAGTCTTTAGCCTGTGTGAGAGGTGTGTTTCACTCCTCTCATTGCTGGTAAACACCACACTCAGCTTTTTCCAGCTAAATGATGGCAGTCTATAAATAATCAAGACTGGACCAGACAATCCAGTGACTGTCGTTGTGAACAACCCATAGTTTTGGGTGACAATGACATTTTCAACCAAGCCAGTCGGACCACTGAATCCATGTAGTTGCTTGAAGACGTATCAAGCTGGCCGCCACTGTAGTGAATGCCACAGATTTCTCTGTATAATTTCAGATAGCGCATGTTATAAACAGGAAACCTATATTTTGGATACCATATTTTAGGGCATCCACAAGATGGAGCAAGTTCCTCTGATAATTCGGTGACTGTCTAAAATGGTGGGCCTCATCTCCTTCCTGTGTTGTCTGTTCATATTCTGACTGTTTTTCCAAACAGTGACTTGAACAGGTCATTCCTGAATAAGAAAAACCAATACAAAACTAATTTCTGGGATGGGCAAAGCAGCACAGGCCCTTGTGTCTTTGCGAGGATTAAAGATAAGAAAAATATATATAAAATTGAGATGACCCCCCGACTCGAAATGCTTCACAGTTCAATACATTATGACAAGGCAGTCGATGAAAGGAAAAATTCCTGCTAATTTATAAAGAATGTGCAAATGTGCCAGGGTTGACCAACCAGAGGGCTTGCTTCGTTTTGTGAGGACACATCTTCATCCATTTGTGTCAAGATCATTTAGTTGAGGGTCAAAACCTTGGCCAGTCATCCATGATTATGTTTACATTAAGTTTTAATCGATTGTATGCGATGGTAGCTTAGCGATCGGCCTTGTCATAATGTATTGTACTGTGTAACATTTCGAGTCGGGGGGTCATCTCAAAAATATTATTTTTCTAATCTTTAATCTTCGCAAGGACATGAGGGCATGTGCAAAAGCAGCTGCCAACTGATGTGTAAGGGGAGATAACTACTGGTATGTGTGTGCTTGGCTGGTGTGTGCATCTGTGCAGGTGTGTTTCTAGTATAACACCTAAACCAGCAATATTCCAACTGCATCAAGGCAATGTGTAAATCCTGGGACAATTCAGATAATCCTGTGAATGACAATCAGACCACCAACCATGTCGCCAAGACTGACTTCAACATCCAACAGTCACCTGTGACAAGTAATTTAATCTGAAACACTCACTGGATACCTTGTGGCAGTACATATTGAACTGGTAAATAATTCCATTCAGTTTTAAATGGTAAACAATTACAGTGACAGGATAAATGTTCTCTCCAAACACCTGGTAACTGCTGACCTAAATACCCCCAACAAAATGTGTTACATCTCACTGTTGAGGATGGATGACAAAAGGAAACCAACATGTAGATCATTAATTTCACTTTGCTAAAATTAAAATGTCCGACAGTTAACACCCACCTTGCATCATCAGACCAGATGGAGTGGTCCATTGGGGCCATGAAGTTGACTAGCTTTGCATGGACGTCATACCTACAACAGCCAGGAAAGTACATTTTTGAGCATGTTGACAAGGGAGAATAATTACATAATTTTTTTTTCAATTTTACTAATATTGAGGGCACAATAACTGATTGTCATGGGAAATTTCTGATGCACACAAGAATTGAAACATATCCAGGCTTAACCAAACAGATTCATTCATCACCAAGCTTCCTCTGCCTCAGTTAACACGACAAGTATTAGAGCAAACCTAGTCTCTCATTGAAGTATGAGTATGGCTTTACTCTGCTTTTAGAAATATTCCAGCAATATCACGGTGGGTGACACCAGAAATGGGCTTCACACATTGTACCCATGTAGGGAATCAAACCCGGATCTTCGACATGCGAAAGTGAACGCATTAACCACTAGTGAACGCTTTAACCACAAGGCTACCCCACAGAATCCTCTCTCTTATTGAATAGGCATTGATCAGTTGAAGTTGGGTGCACTTTTAGCAGAAGCCTTTCATCCAACCAGAAAACAATCATTTGAGCAAACTAAATGCATAAGAGCACAGCTAAAGTTTCTCATTGAAAGGGTATTTATCATTTGAGTCAAGTAAAGCATTTCTTGTGAAATGAAGCATTTCATGAAGTGAGTGAATCTCATTTGAGTAAACTACAAGCATTGCATCTAAAGCCTCTCATCCCATAGGTGATCATCATTTTGGTCATTTGTATTACAATTACATCCTGATGATTTATTTCAGTCATCACACTTCTTACGCTGGACCAGGAGTGAGTGGAAAGGGACTAGTCCATGAGGTGAGGTGACGTGAGGTTAGGTGAGGTGAGGTGAGGTGAAATTGGGTTTAACGTCAAGCATGAGAATATATGTGTATGTATGACGCCGCAGCATGCATGTGTATGTGTATGCGCAGCTGCTTGTACTGGTTTTATAGTGCTAGCCCACTGAGATACCATGCCGCAGTGAAGCATGAATACCCCACTCAGACACATTATACTGACTCCGAGCCGACCAGTCCCATTAATGCCGAGCGCCAGGCAGGGACCAACATGTACCAAAGTTTAACGTCTTTTGGTATGACATGGTCGGGGATCGAACCCACGACCTTCCGCTCTCCAGGCGGACGCTCTAACCACTACACCACGGAGGCGGTCTTGACACGTCCATGAAGCATTCACTAGGTATGTGGACATGCTTTACATAGAACCTGAAGTGAGGGCACACTGTGTTTACAACTATTGCACATACACAACAAGTGCTTGTTTGTGAGCATCAGCTTGAACTAGTTTGGATTAATGCTTGTGTTACAGTGCTGGTCCACTCAATTATAATAATCAATTTAATATATCAATTATTATAATAACTTAATTGATCAATTAATGATTTAATAATTATTCCATTTATATTGCACTAAATCCACAAGTACAGCATGCTCATAGCACAGACACTTCAGACAGATACCACGCTACAGTTTTAACATGGATACCCCAACAGAGTATAATGACTCTGAACTGGCCATGCAGGGAAACAACTATCAAATCTTTAGGTATACCATGGTAGGGGACCAAACCACTAACCTACACCTCACTGCTTTATGCTCTAACCACTAGGCGGCAGAGCTGATCTTCATGGAATACCACTGTGTTCTGGTGGAATTGGGTTTAACGTCATGCTTGAGAATATTTCGCTCATATGATGACGTGCATGTGTGTGTATGTGTAGGTGCGGCTGCTTGTACTAGCCCAGACTTAAGCTTGTTTTACAGTGCTAGCCCACTGAGATACCATGCTGCAGTTAAGCATGAATACCCCACCCAGACACATTATACTGACTCCGAGCCGACCAGTCCTTGTTGTACCCATTAATGTCGAGCGCCAGGCAGGGACCAACAAGTACCATATTTTTATGTCTTTTAGTATGACGCGGTCGGGGATCGAACCCACAACCTTGCGCACTTCGGGCGGACACACTAACCACTACACCACGGAGGCGGTCTACTGTGTACTGAGTGAGTTTCAATATTCGAGCTATATGGCGGCAGTCTGTAAATCAGGGATGGCAACCGGAAAATCTATTTTCAGCTGTAAACGTAATATTGTGTCATTGAGTTGAGGGTTTCTCAATGGATATACACAATTGGGATAGGATGACATGTCAGCCAACCATCTGAGACAGAAGAGTAATTTTGACAATGCTCTACAGTGACAAAAAAGAAAATTTCACTTGTCCCCACTACATTACAAAGGGTGACTGCAACCATGAAACCCCACAGAGGAGATAGAGGAAGAGAAGTACCCACCTGATCTTCCTCCCTTTGCTGGCTCGTGTGTCAACCTTCTTCTTCTTCACCTTCGTACGTAACTTCTCAATTTCTAGCCACTGCCTGTAACAGGAAGTTGGTTTACCTTTCACATTCTAAAGTTTTGAGACAACAAATTTAGTAAAATGTATGAGAATTTTGCATCAAGTCGGCATTATGCAGCCATGTAAAATAATGAGGTGTGTGCTGCAGTTTGATTGGTTGAAAAATATTGTTAATGGCCTTGCAACTCACTAACATCATCCCCAGGAAATAAACCACAAGATGACGCTAGGAACATAGAAACTCAATTGCATTGTTGTTTTCACTTTTATTTCACCTGCTGATTGCTACTGGGTCATTGAGTTCACTTGTCTTCCTCTCGATCAGCTCCCGCAGCAGCTGGTGGTAGAAGTCGCTGTCATCAAACACCTCGCCATCATAGTCATCCCCAGGAGAAGCTGTTGCCGCTGCTGCCTGCGAACACAAAGTCGGTCGTCCACAACAGTGTAACTTTAACTCAAGACCTTACTCCAGTGGTGGACACTGCAGGTCTATGTGATTTTTGAAGCCCAGAAACATTATACATTATCAACTGTCAAAGACAATCTCAGATTCTCCTCCACCAAGTGACCTGTTCTGTCTGTGTTTCCCTAAATCCCATGTCCAGACTATCCTGAGATTATCTTCCCATGACATCAGTCTTCTTCTAATCCCTTCTCCACTCCACCACCCACGCTCGACCCCCCCTCAATGTCTATCTATTCTTCTACAACTGGCGACATGACTCAAACATTCCACAGGCTAATTTGACAATACATGATTTTTCTCTTGTTTTTAAACAAATGCACATCAAATCAGAAGAGACTGACCATATGCAAGCATTGCTCTCTGGTTTTACATTGCTACAACTGCGACAGTCAAATTCATGACAATACATATTTATACATCAAAGTTACTGCATTGCTTGAAGAACCCATAACCTAACCTGTGTAAACAAAGGATCGCTATGCAAATCAAAATAGTGTTACACATTTTTGGACATTTTCTCAGTGAAAGTAAACCATTCTATCAAAGAAGATTAAGTAGATGTGTAGGCTTGTCAAAAATGAAAGCATTAAGAAATATATACAATATATTGAATGGACTGTGCAAGATGTGAGGAATCTTCACATCTCTCTTGCCTGTGGCAGAGGTAGTATGCTGGCTGGCCGCATGGAACTCTGGGTAGGAGAGTGGCCCTCTACTCCACATCTCCCCCTCCACACCTATCTGCAACATTCCCTTGCCTCTCCCCTCCTTCCACCTCTCCCCTCGACGTCTCCTGCATTTACTCCACCCCTGTCTCCCCTCCCTCCATTTGTCTCCCCCTTCCCCTCCAAACCCTATCTTTGTCCCTCCTTCCACCCACCTCCTGATTGTCCTCGGCGCGCCTCTGGTTCTCCTCTGCCACCTTCTCCTCCACTCCAAGGATCCTCTGTCCACTTCTCTTCAGCTGTGTACGTCTGATGAGGCGGTCCTTGTCTCGCATTATCTAAACACATACAATAAACTCACCTTAATCCTTCCTGAACATCAGTTAACTATTTACCCCAGACGAACAATAACAGCTAGCTTTATCACTCAGACTATTAGGTCTGTCTTTCCATACATCACAATGTACACACGGTTCAATATGTCACATTCAACGAAAATCACTTTCAATCACCATTAATGCTGCCAGCTTGAAGAAGGGAGCTGTGTAATTCTAGGAGTCCCAAGTGAAGGCCATTGGCATAAAAACTGGAATATAATATTGTTCAATATTTGATTTCTTTCAATGGTCTACATAAATCACTGTGGGCTGTGATATATGTATCATATTCAGGTGAGGTAACGGAATTGGGTTGTCAGGCTAACGTGGATGACGTATGTCATTGTATCCCATTGCGTACGTCAATGCTCATGCTGTTGATCATTCGATTGTCTGGTCCAGACTCGATTATTTACAGACCGCCATACAGCTGGAATATTGCTGAGTGCAGTGTTAAACAACAAACAAAACAAACTGGACAGTATTTGCCCAATGAGGTATCATCCCACAGTTACACTGCAGTACTGTGGATCGATACTGTGGATCAGTACTGTGGATCAGTACTGTGGATCGGTACTGTGGATCGGTACTGTGGATCAGTACTGTGGATCGATACTGTGGATCGATACTGTGGATCAACTGTGGATCGGTACTGTGGATCAGTACTGTGGATCGGTACTGTGGATCAGTACTGTGGATCAGTACTGTGGATCGGTACTATGGATCGGTACTATGCATCAGTACAGTGGATCGGTACTATGGATCGATACTGTGGATCGGTACTGTGGATCAGTACTGTGGATCAGTACCATGGATGGGTACGGTGGATCGGTACTGTATATCAGTACTGTGGATCAGTACCGTGGATCAGTGCTATGGATCAGTACTGTGGATGAGTACTATGGATCAGTACTATGGATCGGTACTGTGGATCAGTACTATGGATCGGTACTGTGGGTCAGTACTGCAGGGATTGGTACTGTGGATCAGTACTATGGATCAGTACTGGGGATCGGTACTGTGGATCAGTACTGTGGGGGTCGGTACTGTGGGTCAGTATTGTGGGGGTCGGTACTGTGGATCAGTACTGTGGATCCATATTGTGGGGGTCGGTACTGTGGGTCAGTACTGTGGATCGGTACTGTACACTAGCATGCAGTGTCTCCCCACCTGTTCGATCTGTTTGAGGGCTGACTGCTCCAGGGCACTGAATGATTTCCCCTTGATCTTCCCCGATGCAAGCCGGGTCTTGTCATTCCACTTGTGCAGGGTCTCGTTTCTGTCAACATGAAGGCAAGACATACAATCTGGAGATGGCATATGAGTGAGCATGCCTATCAAAACTTATCACAGCTGTGTCATATCTACCATGCAAGAATCAAAGGACAGATATCAGATGAACAAGTGGTTGATAGCACGAGCATGATCTACCATCAAAATAACACACAAACTCATAACATTACTGTACAGAGGGAATCTGTCTACCTGTAAGTTGCAAATCCTGTGTGTCTCTTTGCCAGAAAATCAGGGTAGTCTGACATCTTGAATTTCCTCTTGAGCCCTTGTATGTCTGTCTGCTGTCTTTGAGGTTTCTCAACTACTGGTGCCGACTCTGTTTCCGATTCGCTGGTGATTTCTTCATCATCGTCAGAGTTAGGTTTACTTCCACTAGACACAAGAATTACCAAGCATAAAGATTCTGTACATACTAGCATCAGTGGCATGGTTAAGAGACCAAAAGGTTCTCGCATGTCTCTTGTTGTGATCTGTATCGGGTATGTGGGGTAGCCTGGTGCAGAGATGCCAACCCTGAATCAGATGAAAGCCGAGTCCTGCCTTGCTAAAAGCAATTCCCGAGCCCTGAGGGTGCGAGTTGGGGGTGACCGTGAGAGGGGTGTGGGGCTCCTTGTGACGGTGGGGGTCTGGGGCACCTCCCCTATGAAAATCTTTAGATTTAGCCTGGAAATAAGCAATTTCTGGTCATACTTAACCAGATAATAGTTAACTCAAATTAACAAATTTAAATGGCTATTTACTAAAATTCTATCAAACATTCTAAATTTATAAACATAGTTGTATTTTCTAAAAAATCGGAGTTTATTATGCACAAATCGGAGAGTGGATTTTGTATTTGAAAATCAGAGTAACTCCTCCAAAATCAGAGTGGTTGGCATCTCTGCTTGTGGTTAAAGCATTTGCTCATCACGCTGAACACACAGGTTCGATACCCAACACAGGTACAATGAGTGAAGCCCATTTCTGGTGTCCCCGCCCGTGATATTGCTGGAACATTGCTGAAAGCGGCATCACTCACTAAACACACTTACTCACTCTGATCTGTATTATAATTATGAATGATGTTTCATGACACTAATCTGGCCAAACATTTAACATAGTACACGGTTCGTACAGACTATCAGCCATCAAAGTTCAGGCCTTTTCAGGGCATTTTCAGGCCCCAATCAATATTTTTAAGGAACTATAGAAACACATATCACAGTAGCTGAATACACACATGGTTGGACCAATGTGGGACCAACCATCACAGGGAGATAACTCTGCACTGGGAAGGTTTTGCTTTGTAATGGAGATTAAGCGACTGTGATCTACTGATATTGCAAGGTATTTTTGTTATGCATTAATTTCCTGTAAAATCAGAACTTGACAAGTTTTGCTAAGTACAGGGCATGACCAAACCACTGGCATTTAGGGCCTTTTCAAGGCTAACACAAATCTAGGGGCTTTTAAGATAAAATATCTAGCCATTAAATAAAGCAGCCTCCATACTTGTCAAGCTTGGGGTCGGTTCCATCCACCACATGCCTCGTCTCCTGGTTCTGGTGCAGCAGCAGTGTCTGGGCCTGTAGCAGGCTGTCCAGCAGCTTCTTCAGCACCGACTGGGCTGGAACATCAGACCACTCAGTTAGACAACACAGTCAGACAACATGCAGACACCACACAGACATCAGTTAGACAACACAGACAGACAACATCTGACAACACACACACATCATCTGACAACACACAGACAACATCTGACAACACACAGACATCTGACAACACACAGACATCTGACAACACACATCATCTGACAACACACAGACAACATCTGACAACACACATCATCTGACAACACACAGACAACATCTGACAACACACAGACATCTGACAACACACAGACATCTGACAACACACATCATCTGACAACACACAGACAACATCTGACAACACACAGACATCTGACAACACACAGACAACATCTGACAACACACAGACAACATCTGACAACACACAGACAACATCTGACAACACACAGACATCTGACATCACACAGACATCTGACAACACACAGACATCTGACAACACACAGACATCTGACAACACACATACATCTGACAACACACAGACATCTGACAACACACTAACATCTGACAACACACAGACAACATCTGACAACACACAGACATTTGACAACACAGACATCTGACAACACACAGACAACATCTGACAACACAGACATCTTGACAACACAGATATCTGACAAAACACAGACATCTGACAACACACAGACATCTGACAACACAGACATCTGATAACACACAGACATCTGACAACACACAGACATCTGACAACACACAGACAACATCTGACAACACAAAGACATCTGACAACACACAGACAATATCTGACAACACACACACATCATCTGACAACACACAGACAATATCTGACAACACAGACATCTGACAACACACTAACATCTGACAACACACAGACATCTGACAACACACAGACAACATCTGACAACACACAGACATCTGACAACACAGACATCTGACAACACATAGACATCTGACAACACACAGACAATATCTGACAACAGACATCTGACAACACAGACATCTGACAACACACAGACATCCGACAACACACAGACAACATCTGACAACACACAGACAACATCTGACAACACACAGACATCTGACAACACACAGACATCTGACAACACACAGACAACATCTGACAACATACAAACATCTGACAACACACAGACATCTGACAACACACACAGACATCTGACAACACACAGACATCTGACAACACACAGACATCTGACAACACAGACATCATCTGACAACACACACATCATCTGACAACACACAGACAACATCTGACAACACACAGACATCTTGACAACACACAGACAACATCTGACAACATACAAACATCTCATAAATGTCACAAAACATCTGAGGAAATGCAGACAAATTTGATCACACTATCAGACATCTGACAACATCCAACAACATACAGTCAAACAGTCTCCCACACAACTTAAAACAGTCAGAAAACATCTGACGACATGCAGACAGATCTGATCACACTGTCAGGTAACATCTGACAACATCCAACAAGTCAGACAACACCTGCCTACAGAGCAATGAGCATATTAAACAGCCATAGAGTATCTGAGTACACTGACACCACAACCCCTTCATTGCTCACAATTGCACACACACACACACACACACACACACTGCTATCTTTGTGTGCTAAAGTTTACCTAACTTAGCAATACCTCACAACCCTGACTGAAATGTTGCAATAGTTAGATTCAGGAGTGACTTCGACCTACCATCAGTGACTGCCTGCTTATAGTTATCTCCCCCTTGTTTCATAAACAGATCCCAGGTGGAAGGCTGAGGTAGCTGGTTGATAACAGACCCCACTTTCTGCACTTTTATCCTCTCCTCCAGAAGGTTGTCCCAGAGTCCTGAAACAACAATCATACACGTTATCGCCCTGTGTTTGTAAAAAACAACATCAATGAAATATCTTGAATGCATAACTACACCGTCGTAACACACCTTGCACTTTGCTGCACAAAGTTAAATGCAGTTGATTCTTTCAAACGAACTCATTTGGTATTGTGCATTTTTGTTTCTGTATCACATCAAAGACAATGACAAAGCCTTTATTCTTCCATGATACGACCCTGAAACTTGGCAAACAAAACCTTATTTTCTAGTCCCTTTAATCAGTGTTTTTGAGCCATGCTGACCTGAATTACAATTTGTGGACCATTTTAATACTTTCTACCAGGTTATATTCATTGAGAATTGGTTCAGCCCTCAAATGGTACCAGTCAATGAGACCTACCATCCTTCGATTTTCAGACTTTAGTAGGCTTAAGCTGGCCTGAATTTCAATCACTGAGTACTTGCCATCTGTTCCACGCAAAATAATGACTTCAGATGTCCAGGATAATCAATAAACTGCCAAACTCTAAAACACACACTTAGATTGGTTATTCAACCAATCAGTTTGAGGTATAAACTCAGACTTGTTCCAGAGATAAAATAGGAAGATCTGATTTGTTATTCCAGAGCGGAGGCTTCTTACCTAGCTGAGACTGGGCCGCTTTCCCCTTCTGTATTTCCTCACTCTGGTTTGATCGGGAAAAACTTTCAATGCCTCCATCTGCAATATCACAAAACAATGTATCAATATTTCCACACGTTTTGTTTGATAGTACAATTCATGAATAATTGAGGTGACTTCATCAAAAGTATATATATATATATACATGTACATATATGTATCTTGTAAGCAGCAACTAGATTACCCTCCTCTTCATCATCATCATCATCATCTTCTTCTATCTCAGAGTCTTCATTATCATATTTTTTCTTTTCGTCTTTATATTCATCTTCTTCATCGCTGTCTCCATCATCATCATCATCATCATCATCTGCATATTTGCTGTAATCTCCGTCATCCTCAAAACTTGAAAAAGAGTCATAAAATTAGATGAAATAATTTTATCTAAAGAAACCCCAATACATTGTTCTTCCAAACATTAACCTGTGTTTATTACAAACACTCTTATAACAAACTGACGGATACAATGTGCTATTTATTATTGTCCCAGGCACTTGCTGTATATTTTAGTTGAAATGTATGAAAGCACCATAGCCCCCATAGCACTAAAATCACTTTGTTTAAGTGTACCCTGGTGCTTAACATTTGCTCAAAATAAAGTCAAAGTCAGATGGACTATGTGCTTTTAGCAGAAATGTATCATGATTTTGGAATGGGTTCAGTCAGTTTCATTCGAATCACACAGGAAGATAACTCTGAATATATATAATTTTGATTGTAACAAGTAAACCCATTTAAATTGAAAAGGTGCCCCAGGGAGAAACCTTGGAAAATATAGGCTTGCTTCATTTAGGGTTTTAGCACTGCTGGGAGGGCTAGGCTGTAGGGAACATAGTAAGGTTCAGGGACTGTGAGACAGAATAGAAGATAACAAGTACAATTTCTTACCTAAATTCCTTTTTTGTCAGTACTCAGTTCAGACTTGAACATTTGTAAGTCTTCATCATCAATTGCATCATCATCATCATCATCATCATCAATTGCATCATGATCATCACTGTCTCCATCATCTTCATCCATACTTTCATCTTCTCCCTTCAAGGATTTTTCCAGGGCATCAATTGCTGATTGATCAATTTCATCATCTGTAAAATTTACAAGAAAACTTCAGTTTGTTTATGAAACCACTTCTCAAAGCAATTATGTTAATTATGTTATTTTCTTTGTTACATTGTTACATCCAGTATATATATACTTCCCCTTCTTCATGTTCCATTAATGCTTGACAACGGTACAAGAATCTGTATCGAAACGTCGCACTCACGAATAAAAAGAAGTTGTTATCCATAAAGTTTGTTCTATATTGTACTTCCCAACTTCTAACATGCCACTCAAAGAACTCAAAGCAATGCGTTGCTGAACCTGATAATACTGAATGTCTTTGTACATATCAGACTTAATGCTGGTCCTGGTACAAGTATATCATTATATGTATGTGATTCTTCAGGAAATTTGTCCGCCAACAAAGAACGCGTTTTGAAGGCATTTTGATCAGCTGCTCCACCAGACAAAAAGTCATCACCCACTTGATCATGTTGATGCCTTAAAACTGTGAGATACCTGAGTCATCGTCATTTGATATTTTCTTCAGAGTTTTCCGTGTCACTTTTGCCCCTGCATATCTGTTATCAGAATCAGCTAATATGGCAGCGGTTTGTCTGCGAAGCTGGCTAAATTGGTTGTCATCATCACCATCATCATCAAAGTCTTCATCATAATCGTTTTGGACAATCTTTGCAGTAGTATCTGGAAAAAACACATGGATTAGTAAATGTAAGAATTCTGATGCTCATAGTTTATTTCACTTCATACATGGGCTCATAATCATGAACTAGATAACATACCTTTACTGGTATCTAACATAATTAAGTTATGGCTACCTGTCATAGCTGAAGGGGTAGTTGTCGGCACAGGTACTACAGATGTGTACCCCAGGTACGTTTCTGTATACAGAAAAGTACCCGAGCCAAACTCAGAATACAGAAACGTACCCCAGGACCATTCCATTCCGCATGGTGTCGTTTTCGGAAAATGGACTAGTCTGTATGTAGCTTACGGGGTACATTTCTGTATTTGGACTTTGTTTAGGGGTACATATCTGTAGTACCTGTGCCAACAACGACCCCTTCAGCTGTGGAATTGGGATAAACATTAATAACTCAGCATACCCAGTAGCAATATCCATTATATTTAATTCATTTGAAAAAAATAAGAGTATCATTAACAAAAGCAGAAAGTGTGTTAATTACGTTAATATACCCCAAACAAACATGTTTGTACTTTGTTATATCGTATGCCATAAATCTTGAAACTCTCTGTAATAACAATATTCACTCATCACAAAACGTATACCCTTATACTGCCCTTATAATCTTACGTTAATTTATAGTAAATCATTTATATCATCATGTCATGGATCAATGAACCGTCCCCTTCTGGGTGGTAAAAAACAAAGATGATCGAAAACTGGACACAACTTGCATTTATGTCTCATGTGGTCGTATAAATATACCCTTATTGGACAGATCACATCTCTTATTCACAACGTATAATTACCATCATCTATGTCGTCCTCAGGATCTCTGAATACCGGTGTCGGATTAGCTAGTTTCGCAAGTTCCTCACTGAGAGAAGCCATGCTGTTCCCGATTCTGAAACGACCGGACTCTGTCTATTAAACATAAACTCACAGCGGTAGGAGCGGGTACCAATAGAGGAACCAGTTTAAGCCAGTGTTTTTTACATTCGGAAAATCTCGGAAAATTTCGGATGACGCGAATAGTCGAAACGATAACAGTTAAAATCTGTTTGACTTGAAAGAGTTCCCATGAATTGCTAAATATATCAGTTTAGAAATGTAGTTAATAAATATTACGAGGCAAGATGTTCATGAATAACCTATACCTAAAACACCATTTTATCTAATAGAAATTGTCGTGCATCACAGAAACGTTTGTTTAACAAACTATCATCATTATACACATGATTGTTGACAGTTGGCGCGGAGGGGCGCACGGCAGCAACGGGAATAGACAGGTACATCTGATGCACGGGCATTTCGTGATAACTGCTGTGTGCTGATGACGAAATGATGTTCACTGTACAGGCAAGAAAGTGGATAATTAAAGTGTATGATTTCTTTCGCGCTGAGGCGGGAAGGGGGGGAGGCCGTTTTATGCCATCGATAGGTATAATACAGAAGAGAGACAATGTTGTCGACACAACGCATGTAGGGGGCATATCAAAAGCATCAAAGGTTAATAAATTAGACAACTTCCAGAAGAACCAGGCCCGACAGGAAATCACTAAACTGTACTCGGGAAACAAATGCATGTCATTATCAGTATTACAGAAACACCTTGGAAACCAAAACAATTCGTCAGTAACGAAATATACACACTATGGCGACCCTTACATTCTTTCGGGTATATAGGTACAAAAAAAATAGGAGGAGAGAACAGGAGAGTATTGTGCGAACGATCAGATATAGAACGTTTGAGAAATCGTTTTCTCAGGACTATTCAGAAAAAAAACGTTATACGGGGTATGAGCCGGTACTCGAGTCCTGCCGTACCCTACCCGTTGCCGGGTACTCGAGTACCCGTCAGAGCCCTACTCGTGATGGTCTCCAACTGTCGCACCGCTTGTTAATTCCATCAGCTCTGACTGTGATGCCACTGACGATGTCACAGATAATTCAGAATAGATTTTGAGACGCTCCCCTCCGCACCTGTCTATTCCCGTTGCTGCCGTGCGCCCCTCCGTGCCAACTGTCAACACTCATGTTTATAATGGTGATAGTTTGTTAAACAACTTATTTTTAATGCATGGCAATTTCTAATAGATGAAAAGGTGTTTTGGTATAGGTGAGTGAGTGAGTTTAGTTTTACGCCGCACCCAGCAATATTCCAGCTATATGGTGGCGGTCTGTAAATAATCGAGTCTGGACCAGACAATCCAGTGATCAACAGCATGAGCATCGATCTGCGCAATTGGGAACCGATGACATGTGTCAACCAAGTCAGCGAGCCTGACCACCTGATCCCGTTAGTCGCCTCTTACGACAAGCATAGTCGCCTTTTATGGCAAGCACATGGGTTGCTGAAGGCCTATTCTACCCCGGATCTTCACGGGTCTTTGGGTATAGGTTATTCGTGAACATCTTGCCTCGTAATATGTATTAACTACATTTCTAAACTGATATATTTAGCAATTCGTGGGGACACTTTCTAGTCAAACAGACTGTACTGACAACATTGTTAGAATGTGCAGTTGTCTGGGAGTATGTATATGCTGGTATAACATTACTATGTATGTTCAGAATTGGGTAATTTTCGACTATTTGTGTTAACTTTGACTCAGTAGTCTGAGGTGTAGCCAACACTGCGAAATTGCGCCCTAAAGCGTGTCAGGATAGCGACTAACGGGATCAGGTGGCCACGCTCGCTGACTTTGTTGCTACATGACATCGTATCCCAATTTCTTAGATCGATACTCGTGATGTTAATCACTGGGTTGTCTGGCCCAGACGGCCGCGGTATAGGCGGAATATCGCTGTTAACAACAAACAAACGAACAAACATGATGGTGATGAGGGATCACGTCTTTAACTGTCGGAACCCATCGGCTCTTGGAAAAAACAATTCATAATATCCGTGTTCACTTAAATTTGTTGTACTCAATTAAATGCATAATTGATGTCTCTGTGTGCTACTCGATATACTGGTAGCATTTGACAGTTATTGTCAAGTTATGACTTAAAAGATTTCCAATCAATTAAATTGACAACGTGAAACAGGGTTGATATTATGAAATTGTCGTTATTCCGAAAAGAATTTTGTAAGGTTGTTCTGTTACACCCATTGAAGATTTTATGAACACTTCAGTCAGTTTATCAGCTATAGAGTTACCTCCCCCAGTAAACTCTTCCCAGTGGAGATAGATTTGTGAGCCCTCACCAACAAGATGTCGTCTGCTACCCAGCAGCTCTATTTAGGAACCAATTAACTAAAGTCAGACAATTATGCAGTCCCCACAGTGTAAGTTTTGTTTCTTTTATCTGAGTAAGGTTTTTTTGTCACTTTCAGCATAACTTTTAGTCAGGAAATGAGCTTTAAATGTACTTTTAAATGTTTTGAACTTTTGCTATGGTTTGGCTCCATTGGCAGAGGTCACAGAATTTTACTTCACTGAAAATATGATTGAATTCTCTCTTTATTGATTATTGATGTAGGAATCATTTCCATGAGTTAAATGCATTCTTTGTCTCATGTTAGAATGTATAATGTAAGAATTATAAATAAGCTAAAAGACTTTGTACAGATTAATTTCAATGACCTTTTGAACTGATCTTTTTATGTCCGTTTCAGTCTTTTCACCTTATACTATCAAGTACTACCACATGAATATGTCAACTAAAAATCATCACTCATCTGTAATGCTCTTATGCATCAACAAGATTCATTAAAATCTTGATAGATATCTAGTTGCTGTATCATTTACAAGATTGACTAACTGGTCACAGGACAAAGGTAATGGGAGAAAATTTGTGATATGATCAAGTACATATCATAAATACTTATGAGACGAAAGGAAAAAGATAAACCCAGTTACATTAGAAGAGCGAGTCTGTGAACTGTCAATATATCTCCTCAGAAAATCATCTTAGGTACAACCAAGGTTTCACCTTGACTTACTAATTTCAGGAGTGCTCACTGGAACCCCGAAGGTCCTGTATATAAAGTAAACTCCGCAGTCAACTAGATGATGATCAAATATTAATATTGAGTGAGTATAGTTTTACGCCACACTTAACAATATTTCAGCTGTATGGAAACATATACTCATGCCAATAATGGTTGTAACCCCCTCCCCATCCCAACCCCCACCCTCATACCCCAACCCCACACCCCCTCTCCAATTAAAAGAATTGAAGGGGGTGACAACCATTATTGGCTTGGGATATTAGGAGAACGTTCGGGTTCATTTATATGGTCCAAAAGCATACACATGTTGTCACAGGTAAACGTAATCATTCAGATCTGAAGATTCGGAGTCTCCTATAACTTTTGAAGACGATATTCAACAAAGTCTATCCAATTTACTCATTTCTGATCATTTGCAGATTCGGGGAGCCAGTTAGGGCCCTTTCAGTATATATTTACTACTCGGCCAACTCTAAAAATAGTTCGTGTTATGGGCCCAACAGTCACTCCAGACCAAGAACAGTTTGAGGTGGGTTTTCATTGTTATCATATGTTACCCTCCGTAATTTGAAGATGCTGAAACGTTTAGTTCTCTGTTTCTAACTTAGCCAATACTTAGCCTTAGTTTCAAAGATAGCCAATACAATCAAGCGTAATTTGCTAGAACTTTCAAACTTTAACTCAGTTTGTGTCCCCTTTTGTGTGTGGTATATAATGTCGTCATCAGAATATGTAATATAGGTAGAATTAGAAATAGGTGAGTTATAAATTATCGTCACACCGATATCATTTAAGCCGTATAGCGACGAAAACAAGTTTTTAGGTCACTTAATTAACCCCTATGAGTACACTATTATGGACACACTGTTTTGCTATATACGAAAGCAGTTGCCATTTTGGTGACGTGGAAGTATTTTAAGTAACATGCGACTATGGAATGCCCAGTGTCTATTTATAGGACTCGATTACAGTAGCTGTTGTAATATCAAGTGAATCTCGCACCGATGTATTCAGTTATGCGTGCTACTTGTAATGCAGTCTGTCTCACAGTCCCGGAACCCCATTAGTTTCCGTTCCACGCAGCCCTTTCTGCAATGCTAAACACCTAAATGAAGCAAGTCTAGATTTCCTCAGGTTCAGGTGCCGTATTCTCATCTAAGGCTCTTTCATTTTAAAAGGCATTGCTATTCTATCAAAAATATATATATTCAGAGACTAAGCGTTAGTGTACCTGTAATGTGCACTCAGTCAAAAAAAGTTCTATAACTTATTTGTCAGGAACAACTACCAGTTAGCTGTTATGCTGCGTTCAGGACCTCATGCCGCGGGGGGGGGGGGAACTACGGGTGTGATGCACAGGCCTTCGTGTCCTTGCGACCGCTTCCGTGGTGTAGTGGTTAGAGCGTCCAGATTTTGTCTGTGTTGTCAGATATTGTCTGTGTGTTGTCAGATGTCTGTGTTGTCAGATATTGTCTGTGTGTTGTCAGATGTTGTCTGTGTGTGGGATGTTGTTAGTGTGTTGTCAGATGTTGTTAGTGTGTTGTCAGATTTTGTCTGTGTGTTGTCGACCGCCTCCGTGGTGTAGTGGTTAGAGCGTCCTCCCGGAGAGCGGAAGGTCGCGGGTTCGATGCCCGACCGCGTCATACCAAAACACGTTCAAATATGGTACTTGTTGATCCCTGCCTGGCGCTCGGCATTAATGGGTACAACAAGGACTGGTCGGCTGAGTGGGGTATCCATGCTTATCTTTGGCATGGTATCTCAGTGGGCTAGCACTATAAAACCAGCTTACGTCTGGGCTAGTGCAAGCAGCCGCACATACACATACACACGCATGCACGTCGTCATATGAGGGAAATATTCTCAAGCACGACTTTAAACCCAATTCACCTCACCTCACCTCGTGTCCTTGCGAGGATTAAAGATAAACAAACCGCTTCTTTTTAGATGACCCTGACTCGAAATGCTTGTTAAGGAGACATTTACAGCTGATGCTTTCTTTTCAAAAGCCATTGCTTGAAAAAAGAATTCTTACATTTCCAAGTCAAGCAATCGATGAAATGTTACAATTCCCCGCGAATTATTAAAGAATGTGCAGATTTATAAGCGTTGAGCAAACAGAGGGCTAGCTCCGACTACACACCCGTGTTGAGGGTCAAAATCGGCTTTCAAACGACTTGCAGAAATAACAATAAACAATTGGTGGGTATCATGATCAATAGGCCAATATAGTTTTAATCGATTGCATGCGGTGGTAGCGTAGCGATCGGCAAAGTAGGCAGGTGGGGTACTCCGAAATGTCCGGCCTTGTCATGATTTATGGTACTGTGAATCATTTCGAGCCGGGGTCATCTCAAAAAATGTTTTTTTTAATCTTTCATACTCGCAAAGGCACGAGGGCCTGTAGTGTGATGTTGCTGGTAGGAATTTGTGGACAGGAGAAAACACTGTGCGTTAAATTCTTCGCCCAAGCGTCCTACCAACTACAGTTCAACTACTACTCCCTGGTGTTGTTTATCAGCATGACGACGCCAGACCGTATAGAAAACGAGTAGTACAGAACTGCCTAGTCTGTCTCACAGTCCCTGAACCACATTAATTTCCCTACTGCCAAGCCCTCTCTGCAGTGCTAAAGCCCTAAATAAACAAGTCTAGATTTCCTCAGGTTCTGAATCTCTGCTCTCAATTAATATGGGTTTGTTTGTTGCTATCAAAGTTATACATATATATATTCAGAGACTAAGCGTTAGTCTAGCTACGACCGGAGAAGTCTCTGAAGGAAGAAAGTTGCCGGTTGATGGAATTTTATCTCCTCGGAAGAAATATAGCCAGAAAGTTGTCCGTCATTGAAGATCTGTGAACTGGTTGCAGCAAAACACGAACTTAACTTTGATGAGAGTGATGATGAAATGCTGCTCAGCATTCACTGAGACCTAGATGGAAACACCCGCACTGACACCAACCTGTGACAAAGATGTCTCTGAGAATTCTCGATCGCAAGCTCCAGCGAAATTAGACTATAGCGGAACTGAGAAAGACACAAAGTGGAATATAAAAATCTCTGGTCTCCCTAGGGCTCCTTTTCAATATAAATGGGCTTGTTTGTTACTATCAAAATTATATATATTCAGAGACTAAGCCTTAGTCTAAGAGCTGCCTTGCAGACACCGACGTCGTGTTGCCGTGGCATTCACGCTGCCGAGATATGTTCCTATAGAACACATCTGGGATGTCGTGGTGGACAGCGACCACATCCTCAAGACAACCGACAAGAACTGATTACAGGCCGGCAAAGAAGAACAGCGTCATATACCACGTTTCGTCATCAATCGTCTGACATGTTCTGCGAGAGTTTTTGTGTGACTTGTATGAGTAATGTTGGATGTGTGTGCCTACTGTCCCTTAAAAAACTTTCTATTTGCTTCCACACCTCAGTTCGGGCAACGGCCATGCCAATATTGGTTGCTGTATAAATGTTGATTTCGTTGAGATCTTGGCCTTTTCAATATATTTTACTTCTTACATCTATCTTGTGGGATTTAAAGTAGACTGATTTAGAAGTATGGTGAAGTTTCTTTTGGCCGTCAGTTTTTATCAGGGATTGAAATTTTTAAGTTTGTTCATATCAGTGAGAGCTAGACACTGGTCCTTTCACCAGCTGCATATTTGGAACACCAAATCTAGATCTTGGCTGCTATATGTGATAAAAAGCCGATACTAAAAAAGAACCATTCTTTAGACTTTAGAGAAGTCATCTTTACCTACATCTAATACTAAGTGGATAATTTCACCTTGTGTCCGAATCTCAAATATCGCCAGAGAATTACCAGTCTCGAGTATGTGCCGAATTCCACTGATTTCGTTTACATTAAAAACGTGTTAATTTTGAACTACTTCTCTTGTGTACAGTGTGAATAGGTGTGCTGCTTATAAGGTAAAGAAAAAACGTTATAATTCTCGTTTCACCACCCAGTTAACTGAGGTAGGATTTATTGTCACGACAAACACATTTCTTTTGCAGATATTTAATAAATGCCGTTGAGCTTGTGATGAAACTCTGGGGTTTTAGTTCACCAGAAACATCGACCTAGTTCTAGTAAATATATAACGCCAAAACAAAGAATGGCACTCACAATTACTAACCTAAAGATATTACTTGGCGTTAGCCTTTTGGCTGAAATATTGATTGAAACAAACGTTATCATGAATCCCTGTCACTATTGATGGCAGACGGTTTACATCTAATAGATTTTAAATGTTGCTTCTTTTTCCACATTATTAAGCGACAGTACTAGTGTTTTGGGTAACATCCACATAATTGTATATTTATATTAACAGGAGTCGCCTTTAATATCCAACTGACGGAGAATGGAACGAGGTCAGCTGTCTTGTTGGGGCATGAAGAAAGCCATCCTCTCGACATCACGATTGCTGTTAATACTGTTGACATGCTTATTTCTGAACTTATTTCCTCTGGTAGGTTTCTTTACTGATCCAAACAACCCAGATCTGTGTTTCATAAACTGGAAGAATTTGCTCCTTACTGGACTCTTCTTTCTGAAACTTGTCTTCACTCTACTGAAAAGCAGAGTACGAATGACCCTACTGCGACATGGCCGGTGGAGAGTTTTCCTTTGTGGCGTGTTCATTGTCGTATCAAGTTACTTTTTTGTTGCCGTCGTTTTGGACAGGTCAGCGCTTTGGACATGGGAAACTTTTAAGTCTAATTACATCAAGCGATTAGAGGATAGCGTCATTGCAATAGATGAAACCAGGCCTGAGTTTATGGTGCGTGAGCGCGAGATTCCCGGCCCAGAACCCCTCAAGCTCGAGCGACACTTGCGATATGAGGGTGAAGATGTAAGACTGATATGTAAGGACTTGCTGGTTTTCCATGGAATTGTAAAGTTTCACGAGAAGCAGGTGATCTGGAAGCTTAATGGCCAGAGAATCGACTCATCTCCACGTCATCGTCGCCACATCACAACTGTTTTTGAAAAAAATGATTTGAATAGAAGTACACAAAGGTTGTCAACTACTGATGATAGGAATGAATATCTTGTTACGTCAAAGCTTGAAATTAATCTAATCGATACTGAAGATTTTGGAAAATATTCCTGTCATGTGGCAAAAATGGCCACATTAGTAGCCTCATATGTTAGCAACAATAAGAAAAAAACAGATGCTGGGGAACCAAGTCAGGATGAAGGTTATTCGAGGGGGAAAACATCGCACGAATGCCCGAATGTCCGAAAAGAACATACTAAATGTCCATGTCCTCACAAGGATTTGCCCCACTTGAACGTCCCACCCTTGCCATACACGTGGACTGCAGAGTTCATCGTAGAAAAAATCAAAGCAAAGAGAAAAAGGGTGTCTGTTCCAATTGGAGGCATCGTGTCAACAAGTGCGTCATATAGTTACATAGACGGGCCAAATCAAATTGACTTTGATCATGAAATCAACGGACAGTCCTTTGTAAATATATGCGAGGGATTTGATCAATCATGTTCCATATTCGTCTTCCTGTATTGGTTCCTATGGCATGATGGTGGCCATTATTCAAGCATTCCTGCCTTCAAAAACAAATTGTTAATGGTAGATGGCGTAGGTGGCACGAGCTGGCAATGCGCTTGTCCTAACACATATGGTGTCCACAAATTCGTCTTCTATCGCGAGATGTACGATACGTCTCTTGGAAGAAACCAAATTATTGAAGTGGAATACCCTGACACTATAGAACTTGTTCCCGAGAAACCACAGCTCTTAGACTTGTATTACAATAGCTCAAAGGAAATTCTTCCGTTGGGAGAGCCGCCTTGTTGGGGAAATGTGCAAACAACAACCTGTGATCTACTGGAGATGTTACTTGAGAATATATCCTATAATTTCCTTTACCGAGAAAAGCTGATTTTCTACGGAGGATTAACCTTTTGCATAATATTGGCTTGGTTTTTCACCAGAGTGATATTGAAACGGGTGACAAATCCATGCATCAATATGATACTTGGGAGAAGACGCGTCAACATTCAGCCAATCCAAGGCAGAGGCACACTAGCAGGACTTGCGCCATCAGACAACACTACTGTTAAATACGACCTGTACATCTCCTACGCTGACGAACAGAAGGCGATGGCGTCTGAAATTGCCAAAGCGCTTATTTCGCGGGGCTTGAGAGTGTGTTTTCGAGATAATGATGTTCTCGGACATGAAATTGTTACCCAGGCTGTTTCAAGGCTGATCATGGAGAGCTGGAAGTACCTCGTCATCGTCTCACAAGAATACGTTGACAGTGGACTTCAGAATAAATTTGAAATACACCTCATTACACAGAGGCACCGTGATGGATATATCAACAACCAAAACGTTGCTATATTAGCACTCAATACAGATTTGATTCAAGATGTCTTCAGCAGTTATGTTATTCTAAGACACTATGAAAACAGTGATGATGATTTGGATGATATATTGTTGTGGCACGGACAATCTATATTCCCTAATGATTCAAACACCTCAGTCCGAATTGAAAGACAACGCCTGTTCGGAAGGAACTTCGATTGCCTTTTGCCATTTATTCAAACTTGTTTTTGGGTTCTTTCATTTTGGGTATTGTATTTATTTCTGGTATCTGGTTGTAGATTGTAACACATACGGAAGTATTTCTGATTTGACTGATTATATTGAAGGTGTAATCAGTGTGCCTGATAGACATGTGATTGACTTTGTGATAAATGCGCATTACCGTTGATTTAATAACTTTCTCGTTGATGCCTGCTTTTGCATTCTTAATGGACGGAAACATGTGACATGTGACTTTACATATATATCAGCAACAAGCGCTTCGTTTGTGGACCACGGCCCCGTACCAGTGGGAACATATGCAACCATCAGCCTGAGATGGACAATGCCCATTCATATAATAGGGGTGATGCAATTAACTATTTGGTTTAATGTAGGCGAAATTAGGGTAAGCCTCACCAGTTTCGCAACCATCCCCCTGACAGTGTTCGAAATAACTGCCTGCCCGCTAGCAAAATGCTAGTTGACCTTTGCTCGGGCCTGTCAAATGTTACTGGCTAGTGATACTTGATCATGGAGAGGACAGCTCAAGATTCTGACTGTGACAGGTGCTATGATAGTGATGGCAGCATCTCAGATGCAGACAATTATGATGTGGGGGATTTTTCCAGTGATGATGACTTAAAGGTCACATGCAACCAAAAAATCAAACATAATTAAAACACAATTATCACTTCTTCATGACATATAATATGGATTGCTGATTATGAAAAAACAAATAAACAAAATTATAAGCGTATAATCGCAAATCAAAAGTGCAATATTTTGTACAGTACCGAACCCAGTTGGGTGTGCACTCAAGTGTAACAATTAGCAGATGCCACCTTCACTGCTAATTGACATGTTCATTTTTGTTCATTTTGCAATCAACAGACATCATAACATGTCATGTGTTCAAGTGCCTGTCTGTGTAATTACATAATGTGACAAGACCGAACTCGGGCCATAAATCAATGCGTTTTGTTTATGGTGTATAGCCTGACTGGTGTTAAGTTCAAATTGCATGTGGTCAGTGATCGCAGTTGTGTATTGAATATTGTCATTAGCAGACAGGCAGGCAGACACACAGGTGTCAATATAACAAGACATTGAGCTGTGACAGCGACATATCTATATCACATTAGAAATTGTGTCAACTCTAAATAATGATTGCATATCGGAGAAAGTGACTCGGTAAGAAGAACGTGTGGTGAAATTATATAAACAGTTTATTTACTGTCATAACATATAAAAAGCTCGCGCCTGTGATATCAACAAAACATGCTCACTTCACCGAGTGACAGCCCGCTTCCAAGTTGCTAATTCACTGCGCACGTGCTATGAGAGCAGCCCAGCTGTTGAAACCCGTATTCCCCAGAAAAGTCTGGGGAAAATTAGTGAAACGTTTGAACTCCGATTTCGCGCGTTTTTTTTCATCGCGTTATTTTTCAACTTTATAAGTTGAATTTGCGTTTTTGACGCTTTGTTTCGGTAAGTCCATACCGAAAGGTATCAGAATCTGCAAAGTTGTGTTTTACGTTGCATGTGACCTTTAAGTCCTTAAGATAATTCAATATGAAGATAATTAAAATTTTTGAAAATGTATTGATATTCTTAGAGTGTGTCCCATCAATGTCAGAGGCTCAGAGTGAATAGTTTGATACAATTATTTCGTGAAATAAATACTCTAACTACTCTCATATGCGCTGTCTATAAATTATCATGAATAATTCGGGCCAGTAAAGTGTCTGAGGGGCTAGTGACAGTTTTGGATCATTAACCTTAATGGCTAGTGACAATTTGAATCTATTTGAATTGACAATTTGAATCTATTACACATTGTTAAAAATTTGATAATTGGTGTGAAAAAATATGTGTGAAAAAATGATGTTGTTATTTATGTGTGTATGTCACATGTTGTAAACTTTAGAAAACCCCCTGTGTAACAGAAACCAAAAATAATTACTGTCAGTAATTCTGTTTTAAGCATGGTTAATAGCTATTTATATCTGAGGTTAATACTAACGGCTCACCTTGACTATAATGGCAAAGGCCGCGGCTAAATCTGCGAGCAGGGCTTTAAGGCCACTTATTTCTAAGTTTAAGACAATAGGAGGTATGCATTTGAACACTTATTCTAAGTTACTCTAGGCAGAAATGAGAGGAAAATAGGGTTTGTACATACTCTATGGTATAGTCAGTGACCACCTGTATACAGTGCATCTAAATAACATGGGGTAATCGTGATATGTTCATCCCAGGGATAGTACAGTTGTTGTTTTTGTTTTGTTTTGTTGTTTTGGGGTTTTTTTCTCGGCATGGGTAAACATGCACCGACTATTGCTATCATTTGGAACACAGGATGTGTCCCTCCAATTGTCCAACAACGGTTGTGTATAGTTAGATAGTGGTATTTTAGAAATATGAAGATTGTTTAAATAAACATGTTTTCTTATGGCCGGAAAGGCTTGCTTCTAATCGTAAAAGCTGGAATTACCGATTTTCGTCAAAATTAGCAGACTTAGATATGCAGCATATTTTATATATCACCGCTCGTTTTAAATAATACATTAATGTGTACGAGGTGAGGTGAGGTAAAATTGGGTTTAACGTCGTGCTTGAGAATAGTGCTTGCCCACTGACATACCGCAGAGAAGCATGAATACCCACCTCAGACACATTATACTGACTCCGAACCGACCAGTCCTTGTTGAACCCATTAATGCCGAGCGCCAGGCAGGGACCAACAAGTACCATATTATATTGTTGTCAAAGTTATGTCTGTAATGCTATGCCTCATTTTGTTCCACATTTGCAATTTTTAGATGTGGTATTGCACCCTTAAGAAAAACGGGCGGATTTATTTCTAAATGTTGAAGATAGAGTATGTATTAACTGTAATTCATTTATTGTAGACGAAGAACATGTTTTGTTTATATGATGACTTTATACTAGCTCTAGTCTGAACGTTGTCAATAATTATGTGTCCTGTCTTACTCTCAAAACCTGCGTAGAGAGTACATTACACATGGATAAATTATTTGTTTTATGAATGTATGAATGTATGTGTAACACATGTTATGTTTGGCTTTACACTATCTGCTTGTATCTGGTCTTCTTGTTTTGTTTTTGTTTTTATTTTTTGTCTTATGTCTATATTTACATACTTAAGATGTACGTAAATGAAAAGTAAATAAAATGAAATATATGCCTGCATGTGTTATACACAAATTTCACTATAACCTTTGCTAGCGATTTATTTAGTGTGAGCGCTGGCCCGGCTTTGATCCAAGTCATGTACCCTATCACTCCTTGTAACTTTACCCGTGCAGATCCGGGTTAGAATATTGATCTTCAGTAACCCATGCTTGTCGCAAGAGGCGACTAACGGGATCGGATGGCCAGGCTCTATGACTCGGTTGACACATGTCATCGTATCCCAATTGCGTAGATTCATGCTGTTGATGACTGGATTGTTTGGTACAGACTCGATTATGTACAGAATTTAGAAACTTAATATGAAAGGAGAAAACGATTTCAGAAAAGTAAGGACAATTATTGACCACTTATCGACACTAACGTCATCTCTAGACACTAGGGGAAAGGGGAATCTACATTAACTGTCTTCATTAATTTTATATTCGGTATGATTCGGTAAACATATCTGTTTTGAGGGAGAAACTGGAACATCCAGGGCTCTCGGGAAACATGAGAAATGCCCCAAACGAATATACAACAATGTGTCTAGTTTAAAACTGACTGGTTGTCGGATTCAAACAAGGGTGCTGGTTATCACTTGTCCTTTGTTAATATCTACATTTATGAAACGATTTACTGTGACCTTGAAAGGTCTCGGTAATGGAAAACTACAGTATATGTATTCTGCGGTATGCCCGATGATCTGGTTGTTCTAGCCGAGGTAGTCAGATGTTCGATATATGCCTGACTGTCTGAATTTCTGATGCTGCAGAAACGAAATGAATGGCGAAAAATCAAGGGTCATGCAGTTCCACAGTTCATTCCCAGGACTTCCGCAATATTCAGCTGTGGTAATATTGTCTTGGGTGTTATTGATTAATACGATTTTTGTGTTTACTGTAGACTGAGCATCTAAACGTGCAGCGCATGTATTCTCCCCATCAGTAGGGTACTTGGGTTTTTTATCACCAAGTGTAAAGTTATGGCTAATGTGCCATATAGCGTTTTCAGTTGTGTAATTCAGCTTCCTTATCAGTTATCACTTAAGGCGCTGCTATTTTGGGGAACTACAGAATAATCATGTATAATCACAATTCAGAATAGGGCATGCAAAGACTTTTTTAGTAGTTAGCAAATACAGTGAAACCTCGTTAATCCGGACGGTTGCGTTTCTCAACAAATTCGTCCGGATTGCGAATAGTCCGGACTATTGAATCAAGACCCAAGTTTAAGCAAGAGTTGCTTCCCTTACTATTACAAAAACGACACGAATCTGGATAAAACAAATAAGCATTTAATGTTAAGCTTATAAAACGATGAATAGCAAGCACAACAATAAATTATAGTCATAGCAAAAAGTCTTTCATAGTTGTTTGTGTTCGTTTAACCTTCCTCATTGAATTCATCCCATCCATAATTTTAGAGGAAGATCGACCATTTTCTTTTGGCAGTTTTAGAAATTCATTTAAGTTGAAGTCTAGTTTGAAGGCTCATACGAGAATGCATGATGCAGGGCTCGATTTAAGAGATTTTAACCTACTTGTGCCACTTGTTTTAAAGCTGGTCTCCTGTCTACCAGATATTAATCACGTGAAAAAGGTTTGTGAAAATACAAATGAAGCATAAGAACAGAAAATGTAAGAAGCAGGACGGATTGATCGTGCAACCTAAGATAAAAACCTAGTTGCACCAGTCAAATTCCAGTTGCACTGTTTGTATTGCAATATATAATATCAGAAATATGCTATTGAATTATTTAAATGTTTTATTCAGAAGTTTACCCACTCAAAACTTGACTTGCGCCTGGTGCAAGTTAGACTAATAACTAGGTTGCACTTCGTAATATTGGGTTGCACCAGTGCAAGTAACAAAGCACTAAATCGAGCCCTGTATCATGGGACGTTTACCGGTATAATCTACCTTGCCTAAATCGTTGATAGGCCACCTAGATGCAGATCTTACATTGCTGACTTGGATTTAAACATCTTTCACTCACTCATTCCGCTCATCCCGTCCATCACTTCCATTATTCACTATCCATTAACTCTGATAGTTACAGCAACACTATACATTATTACATAGCACATGGTCTAGAGCAAGTTTATTTCATAGTAATACAAGAAATGACTAATCCTTTCCGTATTTACTCCGCTTCTAATGGTAAACACAGTAATTTCATGAGGGCATTGTTCGTGACGTCACTATACAATGACGTCACTCTAAACATCACATCCAGCGAATAACAACATCGCTGTTTTGGCCTTGTTTGGGCCCATTAAATTACCCTTGGATACTAATCGATAATCTTCTCTAGCCCTTCGTTCCTCAACAATGTTTTAGGGTTTGTATTTTTTTCTGGGTTTGTCAATTGCAATGTTTATTCATATTTTAAGAAGACGCTGACATAAAAATACCCCGTTAATGTATTGTTTCGTTGAAATG